ATTTAGGAGTGGCTCCTGGAGCGCGGAGCCACCTGCCAAGCTTTCTGGGTAGAGCAGGAGCAACCAACTGTTTGTTTTGCTTTGCAGCCTTATTGCACTTCATCCATCAATGCTAGAAGTTTCCCCATGTGCAGGTTTCCCCCTTGCTGTCTGCAAGTGGAGCACATGCCCAGGATTTGGCCATATGGACAATCTGGCAATGTCAGTGGGAGATGATGTGTCAACAAGCTCTTGGATCTCAAGAACTCATGACAGAGGCACTGCACCTCAATGCAAATTGTAGCCTATCCCCTTTGCTAGCACGTCCACTGCTGTTTAAAATAATCCATCTTGTGTCTTTCCATGGGAAGCTCCTCCGCAGAGATCCCCGGAGGAATCAACTTAAGTGCCCTTTCTGCTGTAATATCACACTATGGCTGGAGATCATCCATAGATCAGCTTCTCTAGGCAAAAGGATCAAACCAAAATAGCTTTATCTCCTCTAGAAACTCGGATGCCAGTACAAGAGGGAATGAGTGGAGAAAGATAAATGAGAGCTGCTCCATGTTGCCTTCCAGCTGCTTCCCCAAATCGAAACCTCTCATTTCATTTCCTGTCCCAACATCTGCTTTCTGTAACCATTTTATTCTCTCTTGGATTTACAGTGTTTATTCATATTAGAGCACAAAACCCAAATTTGAATGTCGTTTACCTAATTCTTCTAAATAGAATATGCCAATTCAATGTGTTAAGGAAATAAATCTGTTAAAATACTTTTATGGACAATACTGCTTTCCAATCAGATGCATGTAGCAGGGTAGAGCTATTCCAGTTCATTGTTATGTACATATTTATACAATTTTCAAAAGCACATATTGAGTCCCCCCAAAGCCATTGTCAAGTTATTCGCTGTTTGGCAGATAAAAGGTTCTCAGGATTATTTTGGTTGTTCTAATAATTCATACCATGGTTGCTTATACAAGGTCCAGGCACGGACTAGTCTTTTTATGCAAAGAGAGAGAATGATGGTCCTTGCCTGAAGGAGCTCACAGTCTTGGAAATGTTCTTCTATCATTAAAAAACAGGAGTTAAAGAAATACCAGCTTTTGAAGTGGTCACCAAAGAAATGTGAGGACAAGCAGGCAACCTGAGCAGAATGGACAAGTGGCTTGAGGCTTCTCTGTGCCAACTAGGAGCCATGAGAGGAATGGAGTATGGCTAACTGGTCCTTGCTCATTGTCTCTCTGGTGGCTCCATGACACATTCTGGCAGCCAGCCTCTCCAAGAGGTCTCATCACCCTTCCCTCTGAGGACAGGGAGGGATTTATGAAGTTGCATTCCCATATGAGGAAGATCTTTACTGTAAGGGTGACAAAGCCCTGGCACAGGCTGCCCAGGGAGGCTGTGTAGTCTCCCTCTCTGAGGGTCTTCCCAACACACCTGGATGTGACGGGATGTGTCCTGTGCTCTGGGTGTCCCTGCTAGAGCAGGGGGGTTGGACTAGATCATCTCTAGAGGTCCCTTCCAACCTCAACCGTTCAATGATTCTGTGCTCCAGTCATGGGGTTTAACAGCACTTTTAGCTTGTCACCTGGGTCCATCAATTAGTCTCTGCTGACTCACCGGGTGCTCAAAATACGAGCTGGAACAAGCACAGTCAGTCAGCGGCAGCAGCGTGGTGCCTGCTGGTCTGCACAGTCTGGGTGTCCAGCTGCCTCCAAGAGCTGTTCCAGCACACAATGAATGCAAAGCCCTCCCTGGGAACCAGCAAGGACAATGCCACCAGGAGGGATATGTTTTTCTAGTGGAAAGGCAGTGGCAACTATCAAAGGGAACATTGGGAACTTTACCCACCACCACATTGTGTCTTCCTACCCGGCCATTCCCCAACTCCTTAAAGAACCTGATAGGTCTACTGAGAAAGCACCCCCGGAGCTCTCCTTTTCACCACAGGTAGATCCCCAAAAGAACATCAGTTCATCAGGTGCAGCTTTAAAAAGATGAAGGATTGCAAGGAGCCAGGCCAGCTGGTGACAAACATAAAGCCCAGCACAGATCCTGTGTAGACATTCCAGCCTAATGAAGAACAAGTTTCATTCTCTGATGGAAGAAACTCAGCTAACCTCCCAAAAATTGCACAGTGGTGGCCAAGACCTCCCTAGGGGTGCAGAACACCAGCTACAATGGAGCTGCTGATTGAGGGAATCCCAGGACCCTGGTCACCCAAGACTATGGAGACATTCATGGTCTTTGCTTTGGATTTCCTTTGCAAGGGAAGAATGAAATTCTAACCAGTATGGGCTAGTTGTTGCCATTGGCATGGGCTGTAGACAGCCTTTTAAGATCTGCCTCTTCCAGTCTTCTCCAAAACCCTCATTCCACCTTTGTCTTTCATAGGTTGCTCCCACATCCACTGATTTCCTCAGCATTGCTTTGACCGTGAGGCAAAAAGAAGATTGAAAATCTGCAAGAGCAACTGTTTCCACTTACTGCAGGCACAGAGGGCTTTGATTCAGCGTCCAGATCCAGATGTTGGCATTGCAAAACCTTCTATTAGTGGCAAATGTCGCACCAAACAGGTCAGGTGTCAAACAGGTCACACACCTCCGGTGTGACCAGCTCCAAAGACTCCAAATCCCTACTGGCAGGTAGTAATATGCCAATGGTTTGGCCCCTTTTTAGAACAGAAGAATTTGGCAGTTCAAATCAAATCCTTATGAAAAAGGAAGGAAAAATCCAACTGGGAGTAATTTGCATGGCAAGGCTGAAAAATCCATCTTAAAGCAAGCCATAAAGTTGGTAGGATTAAAAAGTTCCAGAAGAAGCACAAATAATAACAATCAGATTTTTCACATACATGGTGACTTTCAACTAATTATCTAAAAAAACTTTACAAACTTATTCTTTGTCCTATAATGAGGCAGCAAAAGTGTTTGAGATATAAAAAAAGAAGCAAGAGAGTTGAGCAGAGCAGTAGGTTGATCAAACAGAAAGACCATGGTGGCCAGCCTAGCAGCAGAAAACACCATGCTTTTGATGTCAGCTTGTAACCTCAGCTGATCTGCACTGTGGCACCAAAGGTTTGCTCTCAAGCACCCTTGATTCTGGCTTTGGGAAACCGTAGGGATGAATTTTTGCACTAACATCTTCTATGGCTCTTCACCATTCCCTAGTGAGAAGTTGATGAGAGCAAAGAGGTGACGGTCTTGTCCATTCTGCAGCTATAGAAGGAAAGGTCACTAACCCTAGATCAAAGATGGACAGTGAAGAGCAAACATGGACACTGTCTTCGTCACTTACACCCCAAATAATTCTAAAGGGCCTATATGAACCAGCCCAAGGTTCAGGATATGCAGGAATCAATGACTGAGAAAATTCAGACCTTCCCAGTTGTTTTCCAGTAGGTATTTCCAAGTCACAGCACTTAACAGTCCACAGTCACAGAACTCATGTTCTGCTGCATCCAGCACTATTAAGTGTCAGACTTTCTTCTAGTCTGGCAAAGAGAAAATCCAAGATGTTCTATTTAAAGGAACAGGATGACTAAGACACAGGTTACTACTGAGGAGGTTCTCCCTAGATGGTTTTAGGGCAGCAGAGGCAAGGTATAAGTCAAATTCAATGGGAGGTTCCCCTGAATGCACAAAGCATTGAGAAGAATCTTTGTCTAGCTTTCATGGAGCCTTGGCAGAAAACTAGTTTTACTCCCAAGTGATTGAATGAGTATGAATTAACATACTTTTCACTCTGTGTCTTGACTTTCTGTTCAAACCAATGCTCTGTTCTGGAAGGGTGTAAATCCACCAAAATCTTTGGAAGCTGCAAAGTCAGCCAAGTGGGAAGGCAACACAGAAAAAAATGCACATGAGGTTTCCTTATAAAGCCCACTGTCATTTTTTACCACCAAAATCTCACCCTGGAAGATTTTGATGCAGTCTAAGATTTTTACTTTGGTTATTGGATCTGGAAGCAGGCTGAAATATGAAAGAGAGCGCGGCAAGTTTGATGAAGGAGGCAATAAACTTTTATTAGCCTGTCTGAAAACAAAACTGAAGAAAACAAGCCAGTTGAAATAGAAGTTGACAGACCTAGGCAAAGTTTTATGTCGGTTGATCTAATAAAAGACACTGTTTCTCTTTACAGACTTTGACTTACACCCTTGGACAATCATACCCACAACATATGGTTGCTACCGTAATGAAAAATAGACACATATAGGGTGAGTAACCTTAGGACAATTTGCAAGCAACAGTGCACTCAAAAACACCTAGAACAAGAAACTCGGCAGGATTTTGGCTGTGAACTTCAGGTGGCTTCTAGCTCTTCCTGGGGAGTTTTAATGTGCTGTGTGTTCCCAGACAGGTCAGAAATAGCCCCGCTCCTGCTGGCTCTGTGGGGCTTTCCCTCCTTGATCCTTAGGAATGCAGAATATCAGAAAATCTGACCTATTAAAAACAATGGTCGAGGCACAGATTTCGTTTCATTTATCCTGCACAAGGTAATATCGCCTTGGTGCATTCCAGGCACCCTGATCTGACATAATGGATATGATAAACGGGATCAATGAGATAGTTTTGATAAACTGTGCTGCATCTTGAAAACAGCAGTTCAAAGAGGCCTAGAAGCCAGGGAAAAATTCACTGGTTTTGGTACAAGAGATTCTCGGGCTAGAAACTGTCACACGAGCCTTCGTTATGGGAGTCCTCGGAGGAGCTCTGGGTCTCCTTTGGGAAGGATTATCCGTCTTTTCGTCACTGCATGGATATTATTACGGGAGGACTGTGCTGGAATGCCCGCCCAGGGCCACCCTGCACCTCGCTGGCTGCCAGAATGAGCAAATGCTTCCGCTTTCACAGTGTTCCCTCCCCTCTCCTTGGAGCCGAAACCTGTAGCAGGGCAGTGCCTGGAGGCAGCTGGAGCCTCCGGGGCAGCAGCAGCGCCGGGAGCTTGGAAATAAAGAAAAAACCCATCAAGCAAAGACACACCGAGCAGCAAAGGACTGGGGCAGAGCTAGGAGTGTTCCGGCAGCAACCCAAGACCAGGCAGGACTGAGCACAGGGTTCCCTGTCCACAGAGCTGTCGCGGCGTGGGAGGAAATGAGCATTTCCCCGCAGCACAAGCCTCTGGGCAAGCAGGTCACCAGCAGCCTGCAAATGGTGAGTGAAGCACGGGTTGGGGTGCTGGGGTTACGTTATGGTGCTTTTCCTCCTCGCCTGCTGTTTAAAAGACACTAGGGACTGCCGGATGTGTGGTTGAGGGGGAAAACCTAGGTAAGAAGCTGTGTCCGACTCATTTTGCACTGGCTGGTTCACAGAAGAGCCATGTCTCTCCCCGGGATACAAGAACTGGCCACAACAAATAACCTGAGTGGTTCGTTTTCACCTTTATTGAGAGTTAGGATTAGTCTAAGACTAACTAAAAGTTGTCAAATCCTCAAATAAATCCTTCTGTAATCCTTAGTAAAGGATAAGTTTTCCTCAGATAAGAATAATAAGTGCTGTGAAACTTTTGACCCACTGTCTGAGCAAGGAGGAAAGGCTGAGCAGTGTGAGATCCTCCTGTCAAGTCATCTCTGTTAAGGAGCAAAGCTGAACAGCTTGTGGCTGCTTGGACTAGCGGCAAATTTCCCTAATTGGGAGGTTTTGTTATAGAGAGAGCTTTGGGCTGTGTGTTTTTGTGGGTGAAAGTCACAGGGTGCTCCTAGATAGGATCATCTTATGCTTTTCTGGTGTAAATGACTGTTCTGGAGGCAAAACCACTGAAGCTGTTGATAAGCAACAGTCCAGCTGGATTATGGGGTTGAAATTTCTGTTCTCCTGGCTTGTTGAGGCTGTGGGCTTGCTCCTGCTAAATCTGATAGCTTGAGGCTTTCTAAAAGGGAAAAATCTCCCTCTGTTCTGGTTTGTCTCTTCTTAGTCCCTTCACTTTGCCAACTCTGTTGCTCATTAAGTGCTCCGTGAGCGAGTTGAGCTCTCAGAAAAGAAGCAGAGCTGGAGCTGGCGCAAGGTGAGCGACAGAAGCGCGTAGGTGGGTACGAGGATGGAAACGGGAGAGGTTGGCAGCTCACGTCATCTCACGGCTCTGCACCCGTAAGGCACCGTGGGCTGGATCCAGCTCAGCACTTAAGTACACACTTCACTGCAAGCATGTGACTAGTGGCGCTGATCCTTGCGTGACCCAATCCAAGAAAGAGCAGGCGAGCTCCTGGAAAAACACAACTTTTTTTTTTTTTTTCTATTGACTCATGCCTTCCCAAGGGCAGGTGTGGTGCTAGCCCAGCACATGAGACTGCCTCGTCCCTTCCCTCTGCTTTTGTTGGACAGAGTGCTATGGAAACAGGCTGAGCACAATGGAAGGCTGTTAAATTTTTCTGCACCCAATGGTCAGGAAGGTCCTCACAAGCCACACCAGGTCTCTGGGCTTTCAGACCCCTCCAGTACTGTTTTTTTGTTTTTTTGCTTTATTTTGTTTCTGAGAGCAATAGCTTTAATACACAGTGTCCCACGCAAACAAACCCAAAGCTCAGGCTTTATATTCTGTCTTCTTAAATTCATTTCAAGTGCACAAATTGTTTTATATTTGAAGCTATCACACAGTTTTAAGCCTGGTACGGAGTTGCTGTGCCTGGCCGCAGGCAGGATTTTAGTGTCTTAGTTCTGTGTTTATAGATAATCCCCCCCTCAAAAAAAGGAGAAACCCCATCTTGCATGTTACTAAAGTTTCAAAGAACTTCAATTCTGACTTTGAGGAGAAAACATTAAATCAGGTGGGAAGAGAGTTGGACATCTTCTCAACTCTGTCCTTGTCCTTTTGCACTGAAATATCAGGAGAGTGAGAGCTCAGATCATTAGGACCACCTGTGGGATCACTTGGTCCCACTTGTGTGGACTTAGGAAATCCACATAGATCCTTCAGTCTGTTAACAAAAACTTTCCAAGTGACTCTGGACAACTTCTTCTTCCTCTTCCTCATTGGGACAAAGTGACACTTTTCCACACCCTGAAGATGTGATGAAGACTAATCTATCTAGAAACATCCAAACATCTACTGCACTAGTTTTGAGGGCCATATCCATATCCTGCATCTGTTTTTTAGCAAGAAATGGCCTGCAGCAGATGGCTGGGTGTTCCCATCTGTCAACCATGGGAGGACGTGGTTGGGGATTCAGACAGCCGCTCAACATTACAGTTGTAATTTCCAGCTACAATCACAATTTACTTCTTCCCTTGATCCTTCCATGCTGAACGCTTGAGAAAGGCAATTTGTGTTATTTTTGTCCCCTTATTTGCAGCTGTCGCCAATAGTGGAGTTAAACGTCGGCGGGGAGATGTACACAACGACGCTGAGCACCTTAAAGAAACACCCCAAATCCAAACTCGCCGAGATGTTCACTGGGCAGCCCAAACTGAGGACTGACTCCGAAGGGAGGTTCTTCATTGACAGACCAGGGACCTATTTCAAATACATCCTGGAGTACCTGCGTAGTAACCAAGTGCCCACGCAGTGCATCCAGGACGTGTACAGGGAAGCCTTGTTCTACGACATCGAGCCCCTCATCAAGCAGCTGGAGGACTCCCCACAGATCTTCGGGGAGCTGGTGGCGAGGAAGCAATTCCTGGCCCGGGTGCCCAGTTACAGCGAGAACATTGAGCTGATGATCCGCATTGCCAGGGCGGAGGCGGTGGCGTCGCGACGCTCCAGTGTCATCGTGTGCGTGGTCAGAACGGAGGAGGACGCAGCCAAGTGCCAGGACGCCTTGAACAGCTTGGACATGGACAAAAAGTCCGTGGTGAAATTTGGTCCCTGGAAGGCGAGCCCGAGTATTTCGGACCTGCTGGACTGCATTCAAATGGACGTGGAGGCCAAAGGGTACAAAATATCCTTTCAGCCCCATGTTGCCGAAAAAGGGTTTCGCTTCAAGTCCTATGACTTCTTCTACAAGTTCCTGTTCACCTGGTGGTAGCCAAGGGCCACCACTGATGGGGCATAGAAAAAAACAGTTTTTCCAGAAAATTGACTTGGGCTGGGGAGACTAAGCCATGGACTGTGCTGGAGAGATGGGAAGAGAGGCAACGGCCAGGGAAAGGATTTCCTTGAATGTGTCTTGCCTAATTAAACAGCATTAATGAGCCACCATTTTGTTAGAACATTTCAAAATATATGTTTAGACATGTGGCATGACCTTTTCCAAAATGCTTACCCCTTTTGCACCTCTTGATCTTTTTTTTTTTCTGACTGTACTGAGAAGTAACAGACTCTGCAGATGCAATTCAGTTATTGGGAAAAGGATGAATTTTATTCTATTTTATGCATTGCAGACTATTATATAAATTCAGAGAGCCAGGCTGTGGCTGTGAATAATTTGTGAGTTGTGAGTAATTTGTCACTACTTCTGTATTGCCAGATATGATCTTTTCTGGTGAAAAAGTTACTTTCAATTCCCAGTGGAATCACTAAAAGTGCCTTAATTTCTAGCAATTTAAATTTGGATCTTGAACAAAAAGCCCAAAGCTCTGGCTCTCATTCTTTTTCCTATCAGATCCTGGGTTTTAAAGGATTTTGGTGTCCCACTCTCTGCTCTTGCTCCTCCAGTTGGCAACCTGTTCTCTAGCCCATGTATTTATTACTGTTATTTATTAAATAATTCAGAATTATTTATTCTGAAGTAAATACAGAGAACCCCATGCTATGGTGCACAATCAACCCAAGGCAAAAATGCTATTACAGATCCAAGGAGCATAAGATCTAATGGCACCCACTTCTTTCTCTGCAACGCTGTTACCTCTTTCCCTTTTTGCATCTATTATCACTTTTTTTCTTTCTTTTTTTTTTTTTTCTGTTTTTAATAAAACCTTCTGTAAGAATTAGGAAAACTCATGGTGATTTGCCTGGAAGGAAATACTACCAAAGCCAAAGCCTAGAGCTTCAGTGGTGATTTTGCCTTAAAGGACACTGGATTGGGTCCTACCTCATAAACATTTTAAAAACTGGAATATTCCAAAGTGTTTTTTTTTAATGTTGTTTTTGTTTGTTTGTTTGTTCGTTTTCAGTCACTCTGGGGATATCAAAAACCATAAGGACTAGTCTGGATTGTGGTTGTATTTCATTTTCTTCTCAAGACACAGATTTCTTCGAGTTGCAGGCAAGAACCTGCAGGTTGCTAAATAAACGTACTTTAAAAGCTCTCTGAATGTCATACAAGTGCTTAATTTACTGACATCTCCCCCAACCGATAACCCAAACCTGCACCATTTTATGTTTAAGATTTTGGATTTGAATTACTGCTAGTTATGTCTGTTTCTTGACTTGACTTGACTTGACTTGACTTGACTTGACTTGACTTCATTCTCCCTCCCACCCCGCCGCGGACAGGTATTTGGGGGGTTTAAAAAAGGCAAGAGAGCAGATATTTTGGGGTTAAAAACCGCAGCAATGGGTGTTTTTGGGGCCTACAGGCCGCCATACGGCGCCGCCGTTCCCATGGCAACAGGGCTCTCTTCCCCCCCCCCGCCCCGCCCTTCCCGGCTGCCTTACCATAGAGCGTAACCTCCAGGCGTGGCAAGAGAGGCCGCGGCGCTGGCCTGTCACGCCCGGAAACTCTATGGTTTCTCCTTCGGAGCGGGGAGGCGGCCGCGTACGGCGGCCGCGGAGGGTCAGGCCCAGGCGAGGCGGGCGCCATGGCGGCGCACCTGAAGAAACGCGTGTACGAGGAGTTCACCAAGGTGGTCCAGGTATTGAAACGGGGCCCGGATCCGGCGGAGGGAGCCCCGGCGGCGGCGGGAGCCCCTACAGCCACGGCGCGGGGGAGGCCGCGAGGGCCGCCCGGGGCTGCTGCGTTTGTCCCGCGGAGCGGGGCCTGTACAGGGCAGCAGCCGCCACCATTTTGTGGGGGGAGGACGGGGGGACAGAGGCAGCGCCCCCAACGCCACCATTTCGGGGGGCGTCGAGCACGGTGTCGCCGTCAGCGCGGTGGCCCTTGCGCGGGGCGGGGGCCCTCAGCCGCGCCGCTCTGCCCGCCCCGCAGCAGCAGCACGAGGAGCTGTCGGCCAAGAAGCTGCGCCTGGCCAAGCCCAGCAAGTCGGCGGCGCTGCACGTGGACCTGTGCAAGGCGGCGTCGCCCGCCGACGCGCTCCAGCACCTGCTGCACTTCGCCCGCCGGCCCGTGGAGGTGGAGAGCGTGGAGGGCGTCGTGCGCATCCTGCTCGAGCACTACTACAAGGTAGCGGCGCGCGCGGGATCCGTGGGCTCCGTCCTGAAGGGCTTTTCCAACCGTAGTGATTCCATATGGAGCTGCTGTGGTGCTTGCTCGGGGCTGACCTGTGCTGTTTGGCAGCCCTGGGTGAGAAGAGTGACCCTTTGTGCACGCGATTGCTGTTTGTGTGACGTCCCAGTGTTTTCTAGGGACAGGTGACAGGAATGTCAGCTGTGTTATCCCCACATTGAGGGTATGAGATAACCCCTATATAGATAGCCCTGTGAAATAACCCTGCATAGACAGCATGAAGTTAAACTGATACAGACATGAGAGGTCTCAAAAATTCTCTGGAGCACCAAGTTGCCCAAATCACACAATCCCAGAATGGTTAAAGTTGGAAGGGACCCTAGAGATCATCCACTCCAACCCCCCTGCTCCAGCAGGGACACCTAGAGTACATGACACAGGGTGACATCCAGGCAGGTCTGCCCTAACTTTTTCTAAGTCCTTCCTAGCCAGCATTTTCTTATTTTGCTCTTAATTTCTTCTAACTGTGGAGTAATTTTTTTCCTTGTGCTGTGGTCAGGACAGCTTCTGAACAGCTTTCTGATGCAGTCAGAACAACTTTCTGATGCTTCTGAAAAACTTTTCAGCTTTTCAACGATAAAAAATCAACAGAAAAAGAACAAGTGAAATAGTGAATGCATCCTAGTTTCTCCACGTTGGTCTTTCTCATGATGAATCAAAACTTTATTGTCGTTAAAGCTATACTGCAGGCTCAGGGGGTCCTTATAAATGTCCTAGTGCTATTTCTAGTTTCTTTCTTTACATGTACATTTACTCTACTTTGAATTGGTGCCTAAACTTGTAAGTTGTGTTTTCATTTTTTCCTATGCTTTACCTGCTTCTGGTTGCACATTGGGAGTGCTTTATAATTTTCTCTTGTTTATATATTTTTTAACTTCTTTTCATTGTTGTGCTAGTCTTTGCTCAGAAACCTGCAACTTAAGGCCCTTAAGTTGCTGTAATTCCATAGCTTTCCAAGGATAAAACTGTGATTCCTGATCAAATGCTGTGGAAGTTTCTGTGTTGCAGCCTATGTCAGAAGAAAATCTCTAAATTTACAGATCAGATCCAATTTTAAGTTTTTAAGTCACAGTCTGTGACAGAAGTCAGATTTTAAAAGTTATTGCAGTCCTATAGATGTCATTTTTTTGCTCAAGATAAACATTTTTTTAATGAACTCATCTGTTAGTACTGCTGGAAAACTAGCACTTAAACAGATCTTTCAAAAACCTAGCACTGAAAGTGGTAACTGCTGTGGAAGTTGTGTGATGATGCCCCATTTGTAGGGTCAGTATTTTGTTTAAGGTGATTTTGCAGCCTTCTGCTCATCCGTTGTGTGTCTTTATGTTCTGATAGGTATAAAACTATGAGGTAGTATTGCTGCCAAACACAGTGCGTGCTCAAACCATGGTCTGAGATGATCCTGAAAGTCTCCTCCTGACTTCTGAGCACAGTCGGGATTTGGGGTTAGAGGCACTTCGCTTACTGGTGTTATGATCCTGGAGACAGCAATCGGACCCTTAGAGGATTAGCATCAGCTTCTGTGATTTCCTTCCCATGAGAAGGAAGGAGAAAGTGCCCTTTAGTGGGACAGGCTGTTCATAACTTGGTAAGGATAAAACTAGATTTTAGTCATCAAGCTCTTGAAAGTGCCTTCGTAAGTAGCCTTTCTGAATTGCTGATTTGATCTGTATTGTAGGGAGGGTTGTCCTTTTAATAACAGAACAGCAATAATGTGTGTAAACTGATTTAAGCAGCAAGCCAGCTGTAGTAGCTGTTGTTGAAAGGGCTTAGTTTAGGCCCGGAAAAGTGAAAAGGGCTCTCAAATAGGTTTAGAAATAGATAATTTTCTCCCCACTGATATGGTATGTGTCATTGTGGAGAGAATAACACTGAAGTCTATCTTGATCCCTGTTGAAAGATGTAATATTTATAGTTGTTGTTATTACTGCAGCTCTGTGTTCCAGGTTCCACAACTGCTTGGTCGGAGCTAAGTATAGAATCCAAACTTCCTTTAGCTTTTGTTTTTTAGCCTATTTTCAATATCTTTGGCATTAGGATGTAAGAAAGAGCCTCCGTATATGACGAGAAGTGCGGTTGTCTACCTGAATTTTGAGTGTTCAAATTAATAACTCTTGAAATGCTTTTTTTCAATGAATTTAAAGTGAAGGCCAATTTCTGAGGCTTATTTGTCTAATTATCATCATTTTGGTTCTGTTCTTCTGGTTTAAATGATTAGATATATGCAGCTACCCTATATTCCTCTTTTACCTTGCTGAATTAGGCTTCTTTCTTTTTTGTTGTCTGATTCACATGATTCCTTTCCACTGTTAAAGAAATCAGTTGTTTCCCCTAGTATGTAGACTCTGATGCTTATCTAAGATCAAGAGACCATCAATCTCTGTTCATCTTTTAAACCCTTTGCAAGTTTTGAATGAAAAGATGGAATAAATTAACCTTGACAGCAGTGATTTTCACAATATTTGACATGTTTGATGAACCTGATAGCCTTCTACAGTGGGGTGACTAGCTGGATGGACAATGGGAGAGCCGTGAATGTTGTCTACCCTGACCTCGTGAAGGCTTTCGACACCATCTCCCATAACATCTTCATGGGATAGCTCAGGAAGTGTGGGCTGGATGAGTGCACAGTGAGGTGGATTGAGAACTGGCTGGAGGCCAGAGCTGAGAGGATGGTGATAAATGGGGCCAGGTCCAGTTGGAACCTGGGGCCAGCGGTCAGTACTGGGCCCCCAGGGGACAGTATTGGGCCCGGTGCTGTTCAGCCTGTTCATCAATGACCTGGACGAGGGCATAGAGGGCACCTAGGGCACCCTGAGCAAGTTTGTGGATGATCCCCAGTTGGGTGGAGTGGCCAACACTCCGGAGGGCTGTGCTGCCATGCAAAGGGACCTGGACTGGAGTTGGGCAGAGAGGAACCTCATGAGGTTCAATAAGGACAAGTGCAGGGTCCTGCATGTGGGCAGGAATAACCCCAGGCACCAGTACAGATTCAGAGTTGACCTGCTGGAGAGCAGCTCCATGGAGAGGGACCTGGGAGTCCTGAGCCCTGGAATAGGCTGCCCAGAGAGGTTGTGGAATCTCCTTCTCTAGAGATCTTTTAAACTGCCTGGATGCCACCCTGTGCTCTGGGTGTCCCTGTTGGAGCAGGATGGTTGGACTAAATGATCTCTAGGTGTCCATTCCAACCTCAACCATTCTGTGATTTCTATTTGAAAACCTAGTTGTTTAGAATATTAATTTTCAAACATGAAAGCAATTTTGAGGAAAGCTAGTAAAATAATTATTTCAGGACGTCCTGGAAGCTGCCACAGAAACATTCAAGTATGTTAATTTTCTACCATGGAATAGAAGAGTATAGGTAAGATGGAAAAGACCGACATATAGGCGAGGAAGCAGAATGGCAAGGAAATTTGAATGCCATGTGTTGAATTGCGTATGGGTCCTACCTGTGTGTAGCCTTTTATGCTTTTCAAGTGAGAGATGGATGAGATGACTGTGGTTGCTCTCATCACAGGAGAATGATGCCTCTGTCAGGTTGAAGATTGCTTCCTTGCTGGGTTTGTTATCGAAAACTGCAGGATTTTCCCCCGACTGCATTATGGATGATGCCATCAACACGCTTCAGAATGAGAGTAAGTCACACGTTCCATGTTGTGTTAAGGTCAAGGCAGAATCAGGTAGACTTTAGGAAACATCTGAAGTGTGTAATTAGGAGTTGTTGCTCAGAGTACCTATTTTCTACTTTTGTGAGTAGTGACAGAAAATACCATGTTCTGAGGATAAGAAACGTTTTCCTCAGAGCTGTCTACTGTATCTGTCTTTATTTTGGAGGCAGGTGCAGTGTGCTTTTGCATCCCAAGGTGTAGGGATTTGTTATAGAGGAGAGTCTTGCTTAAAGTGGAGTATTTTCCTGATGTTGCAAGCCAGCCCATCTGAATTAATGTAAGAATATGTTCATCTATTATCCTTTTTTTTGGAAAAGCATGTTTTTTGTTTGTTTGTTTTAATGTTGTATTTACCATGATATACTTCACTTGCTGCAGTTTATTTTAAGGTAATGCAGAGGTAGCCTGGGACCAAGAGGCTAAAGGCACCACATCCTGGTCTGTATTAACAGCAGCATAACCAGTAGATCAAGATTATTCCCTTTTACTCAGCACTGCTCAGATAACATCTGAGATATTGCAGCCAGTTTCAAGTTCCTCAGTACGGGAGAGATGTTGATAAGGTTGAGTTCAGCAGAGCACCACTGAGGTGGTTGGGGCTGGAGTGTGCGAGGCAAATCTGAGGAAACTGGGCTTGTTTGATCCAGAAAGAGAAGAATTTGGGGAGAACCTTCCAACCTGAATGATTTTGCCTCTCGTGAGGTACCTCTGGAGCTAAGCAGCTTTTCACTGTTTTGCTTCGCAGAGTCTCACCAAGTCCTTGCTCAGCTGCTGGACACCCTCTTGGTAATTGGCACAAAACTTACGGACAATCCTCCTGTCAGGATGAGGCTGGTGGAGGTAGCCTGCAAGGTAATGTAGCCTTCCTGAGGAAATAAATACTTTCCAAGGGCAGGACTGCTCTTGCATGAATTTGGGTTGAATCTGCATTGGGAAAGAGCTCCCAGTTCTGTACTGAAGAAAAGAGCAACCTGAAACTGTGCAGGGTATGAGCACAATGTCAAGCCTTCTTGAGAAGTCTGTAAATGAGAGCAGAGTTTGAGATGTCTCTGAGTTTTCTCTCTTATTGTCTTTTTCTCTAGGTACTGTATAAACATATTTGTGTTAAGTAGATGACGTTCAGATACGCAGCTAAAAACGTGGCTTGATAAATAGCTCCTTTCATTAACAGAAAGCCTGCTCTTGAGGAGAAAAAGCAATTAAAATACTTAAATCATGCATGTAGTTTATTTCATATTAAATATTCATCACTGTAAATGGAAAAAAAGGTCAATGTTTAAAGTATTTTTTTGAAGAGATTAAGAGATAAAACTCTTAGCAGTTACAAATGTTAGTGCTCTAACAATATATTTCTTTTTTTGATATCTTCCATTCCGTAGCATCTGACAGATTCATCCCATGGTGTAAGAAATAAGTGTCTTCAGTTAATCGGCTGTCTTGGACCAGTGGAAAAAGGGGTCGCAAAGGAGGTTGAAAGCCAGTCTGCCAAAGATGTCCAGAAGATCATAGGGGATCACTTTAATGACCAGGACCCTCGTGTTAGGACTGCAGCTATAAAAGCCATGGTGAATGTTGCTTGGATAAAGAGCTGAACTGTGCGGGTTTTTGTCAGGAAGTTGATGAATGAAAACTGAGTTGAGGAGATTTAGATTAGAAATTCCATAATTACCGTAATAAAAGTCCACGTAATGTGTCAAAATTACCTGAAAGAAACAAGATGGGACTTGAAATGTGAGAATAACAACTGATACCTTATCAAGCATATTAGTGATTGATGACAATATCCATTTTGACTATATCTAGAAAAGCTATAGTCAAAGGTGAGATATATCTGAGGGCATGAGATTTGGTTTTCGTCTGTCTGGGATCTCCCTCTGTTGGAGGTTATGTCCATCCTTCATTTTCAAACATTATTTTTAAAACCTGCTTATGTAACTTTTATAATGACCTCCAGCCATATCTATAGCAAGATTTATGACCTTAAATTTACAATTACTATGGAAATTTTGTGGTCTTTGTATAGTTTGAAGGAGGAGAGCGTTAGGAATGAATGAATTCAGTATCAATAAGCACTTCTACGATTTCTGATAAGGATTTTCCTTGCTACTGTGTTTAATGTTTTTGTTAGGCTATCTCATTGGCATGTTGGGATTTGAAGAGAAGGATAGAGCAAAACCATGTCTCCTGTCTTGTTGACTGTGTTGGGACAGGTACTATCCATTTGGTTGTATGCAGGATTTGTGACATGGCCTTCTTCCAGCCAGAAACCTGTGTTTAGTAGGACATTTTTTACTAGCCTCTGGTTGAGCAATTGAAAAGGTTTAAGGCCATGGAAATTTGTTGGCAACACCTTATTTGCGTCCATATTTTGTGAGTTAGAATTAAAAGATGAAATCGTATTTCTTTCGGTTGTGATGGAAATACTAAAAGTTTATATGAAGGCTGGGAGGATGCCCAGACAATGTTACCTTATTTTCTTAAGTTGTCAAAATGAAGGGATTTTTGAAGTTTATACCCAAGTAAAGATTATACTTGTCAAAATCATGAAATGGCTTAATTATAGCAGCAAGAAATGCAGACAAGTGATGTTAATCAAATAGCAGGAGAAAAAAAAAAGTCATGCAAACTAAGTCTGTGTCCCCTAAAGCTATATAAAAAATATGTTACTTTAAACTTCCCTTTTTCTTTCTCCTGTAGCTTCAGCTTCATGAAAGAGGATTAAAATTACAGCAGGCTATTTACTGTCAGGTAAAACTTTGTTCTTCTGTTTGTTTTCTGCTTGCTTGTCTGTATTACTTTTCAGATTTTGTAATGCATGTTTGGAGAGATTGAGGTCACTGTGTGGAGATGGGGTACTTTGTGTGCAGTCTGGCTGCTTTTTTTGTTACATGATGGAGGTGAAAATAATCTGTTTTGCACGTTGTTTTGCCCAAATGCACTACCATATGTACTTTGATTGGAATATGTTATTTACTGGGGGAGATAAATGGAGAAAAGACAAGATGCTAGATAATCATGGGTGTTATCTTGTAATATCATCAAAGAGTAAGCCCCTGTTCATACAAGAAGGCTGCATTTGTTTTGTTGGTGAGGTTGCAGGGCTGAAGCCTGTAACAAAACAGTTCTTGAACAGGTTCTGGAGTTCTCCATGTGCCTGACTACCTCCCTAAGGGCTTGTCTATCAGATCAAATTTGGACCTCCTGGGGAATAGGAGGGGAGGCCAACTTCATCTTGATTTATAATTTGTCCTAGCTGATTAATGGTGGGAATCAGATATCCATTCTGGGAGATCAGCAGTGCTGGAGGTGGTTCCAGGTATATCTGACCGGCAATCTTTTCAGGCTTGCAAGCTGCTGGCAGACGATTACGAGCAAGTACGGAGCGCTGCAGTTCAGCTCATTTGGGTCCTCAGTCAGCTGTACCCTGAAAGGTATGCATTTTTTTTTTGAAAAATGACTCAAAGTGGTGGCAAAGTAACAATCCTAATCCCAGAAACGTGGTGATAAATCTCAGGAGCAACTGTTCAGAAAGCTGATGTGTACAAAATGCTGGTACCCGATGAGAATCATTGAGCTAGATGTCATTTTGGTTACCAATATTTGCTGCGTGTCCCTCGGCATTCCGAATAGCTATTCCTTGCTTTCTGCCGTGCTGGATGGCATCAGAGCAGCAAATTGATTCATGTTTCTCTATGGTAGCATCGTCCCAATTCCTTCTTCTAATGAGGAAATTCGCCTGGTGGATGATGCTTTTGGAAAAATCTGTCACATGGTTAGTGATGGCTCCTGGGTTGTTAGAGTGCAAGCTGCTAAATTACTGGTAAGTGGCATTCTCTGTGTCTGAGAATAGTTCATGTTATATTACCCTTCTCTTTCATAAGTTTGAAAAGATGGAGGGTTAAGAGCTGTTTACAGCAATTTCTGTCAAAATTCATGGAAGGAGAAAATGCTGAGTTGTTGTCAAGGTTGAGTTGTTCTAGGAAAAAAATACTTTCTCAGTTGAACTCTGCAGTGATTCTTTCAGGGTAGAGGGCTGGATATCCAGCAGGAACAAAAACCAAGTACTGTTAATTCCCTCCACCTGCCTTTCAAGCACAGCAGTGCTGAGCACTATATAAAACTATTAGAATGAAGGGAAATAATTGTGGCCTCTGTTGGGATATGTCAGGAAATACGTGATGTAATTTAGAATAATACATTAGAATAACTTTTCTTTTTCTCTCTAGGGTTCTATGCAACAAGTTAGCTCCCATTTCTTAGAGCAGACCCTCGATAAGAAGCTCATGTCAGATCTGAGGGTATGTATATATTCAGATTCATTTACTTTGTGTTTACTGTACTAAAACCACACAACAGGTATGTTAATGCAGAGTGTGTGTTTAGCTTGCCTGAGGGCTACCAAGAGTTAATTGATGATGACAGATTTTCTGTTAGATTAAAGGCAATGAGGCAATTGCTAGTTTTAGGTTTCATTAGCTGAGCTTACAATAAACAGCTTTAGGCTATTCAGGTTTCCCAGAAGAGTGAGAAACATTTCTATGTGCTCCTGACAGCCTTTTGTCTAAAAGCTTTATATACTGTGGATGGAAAGACTCTGTTTTATGCCAAGGAGGAATCTTATGACAGTGTCCTAAAGATCCATTTCTAGAGATACGAGTAGCCGGAGACAGGGGCGCCTGAGCCTTCTGAGCAAAACTTCTCAGTGTAATTCCTTAAGTGACCCTCTCAAGGTATTATGTTTTGTTTCTCTATCTACAAGACAGTGATGAAGCCAGAGCTGCTGTTTTTGGGGGCTGCTGTGTGAAATGCTTTAAGGAGCCTTCAACCAAAGTGCTGCATGGCTTTACTTACAGGGTGGAGGAAAGAATTAGCAAATGTGCTATATGAGAACCACATTTCAATTTAAACAGTTAACTGTGTATAGTGTGGACAACCACTGAGGTATATAATTGTGTTTTAATAGGTTTACAGTATTTGCATCTATTTTTGCAGAACAGTTGTGAGGTACTTAACTGAAGGGGCCCTTTCTTTGACCCTGTTTGGCTCTTACGGCATGTAAAGATACATTAATTGAAATATTGTCAGCCTTTCTCAACATTATAAGTACAAAGAATATAACTGAAAAACTTGTTGGTGCAGAGGAAACGGACTGCACATGAACGAGCCAAAGAGCTCTACAGCTCGGGGGAGTTCTCAAGTGGCCGCAAGTGGGGAGACGACGCTCCCAAAGAAGAGATCGACACGGGCGCTGTGAACCTGATCGAATCAGGAGCTTGTGGGGCCTTTGTTCACGGCCTGGAGGATGAGATGTATGGTAAGTGTTAACTTGTTGTGCACTGACTGAAGGAGGATATATGTGCTGGCTGGCTTTTAATTTTTTATTCCGTTTAAAAAAAAAAAAAAAAAAAAATCTTGGCAATTCCATGTGTTTTGGGGAGAGGATTTTGGATTGGGGAGTGCTTGTTTTTTTTTTTTTTTTTACTGATTATTTCAAAGATGTTATAAGATCATACAGTGTTTTGGATTGAAGCTCTCCATCGAGTACCCAGCTACAAATAGCTTCCATGACAGTTAAATTTTTATTAAAATATCTGGAGGGCGAAAAAAAGTGGTTGCTAATTTTGTTCAGAAACAGACTGGAATTTTTTGTTTTTTATTATTGACTTAAATTTAACAGCTGGCTGTGGTCCTAAATTGAAAATGTTCGTTGCTGTTCTTTGAAACTGGTATTTTCTCTGGAGGAAGGAAAATCAGACTTACTGAGATGTTTTAAACAACATGAAGTTGTATTAACCTAAGACTACAAGGGATCTGTGTCCCTGGAGTCCAGTAATAATTTCTTGCATGAACACAGCAACTTTGCATTCTAACAAAAGCCAAAATTAATAAGGGAAAAAAAGAAAGAAATTATTTTCAAAATGTTTGAGGATCTGACAGCCTCAGGAGACAGAGGTTTTTCTTCTCATTTCCAGACCAAGTTAATCCACAGATGACTATTTGTTCTTAGTGGGTGGGAAGTTTGGGGTTAAAGAAGTTGTTACTTCTCTCTGGGAAGTCTCTGCTCTCTTGCTCCCCTGGTAAATACATAAGACAGCTTTAATTTTGCAAGAGACTAAACAAGAGAAGCCCCTTTTAGTCTTCATTGGTATAAAAATTCCCCCACCTCCCCGGCCAGCTAGAACTCATTACACTTGAAAATTGCTGAAAGGCTCCGTTTGTTTTCAGAAACATAGATCTCTGATGAGGTCTCCTGTGCTTTTGCCTTTAGCAATATTATCAATAATTCTTTAATGGAAATACCTACATTCTCAGATTACCTGTACTTGTTACCATAGCGCAAATATCCTGGTGTCTCATGGTTTTGCTGTGATGGACTGGGAGAGCTTAGTTGTCTTTTTCTAACATATAATATTGGCTCTGTTCTTTTGAACCCAGATAAGTTTTGAGTGTGAAAGTGTGAAACGGGTCTTCCTGAGCTCCGCTTTTGGCCACAGCATTGACCATGTTAATGTCATGCCATGCCAACCAGGAAAATCTGCATTTTAGGCTTTCTAGCCCAACTTTCCTATGGGTAAATTGAATACTTGTGTTGCATGGGGCTTTTGAGAACAGCTAGTATTTGTGTAAATCCCTACAATGTTGAGCTCTAAGCGTTTTTCCTGAATTTCTTTTTAATGTTACAGGAAGAATGATGCTAAATTAGGAAGTATAAACCCACCACAACTAAAATGCCTTTTTTAATTGTGTTGTAAAAATTGCTTTATTGGTCCGTGAATCTTTTTGACTTAAAGCATGGCTTCCTAATAGCCAAATTCCCCCTGATGTTTGAAAATGCAACTTTGCTTCTTCCTGACCTAGTGATAAAAATCATTCCCCATAATAAGTCTGTTAATCTGTGAACTTTTTTCCTCTGGATTCTGGTGTTGTTGTGGAATGTCAATAAAATGGATAGATGTAGGATATATACAGATCTCTGAATAATGCAGATAGAAAGCAATATTGGCAAAGTGCTTTTATTTTTTCTCTTTGATACCTCGCCCTTAATGACCACAGGGACTAGTAGATGTGGCAAAAACTTTGTTACTGGGTAAGCAGGGGCCTTGCTGTGTTAGTATTTTTCTGCTTAATTGGATTCATCATTCATCTACTAAATCAGATCATCATTGATCTGAATCATCAGATTCAGAATTGAATATGTTCTTTAAGAACAATAGGTCTAAAAGCGACTTAGAAGTTTAAGTAAATGTTTTTGAGATGAGCTAATGTGGGTGAAAAATAGAAATAATACTTAAAACAATAATGTTTGCAAGACATCAAATTCTTATTTTTAAGATCCCAGCATATGAATTATCCCAGACCATAAATATTATTGAAGTTAGTGCAGATGGCTACAGAGAAGAAAATCTCATCTCCCCTTAAGCTTGTTATATTTGGGAATTCTTCAAAGTTCTGCAGTGTTTTACAGCGTTCTGGAGCATTTTCTTCTTTTCTTGCTTAAATTATGCATTGTTTTAATAATTAGTGGCATGTTTTTCCTTTTTTTTGGAGGAATCCAAAGTCATGAAAGAGATGAAGTTCTGTTTGCTGCTGAGATGCTGCCGCTCTGGGGCTTTTCAGCAATTCATAAAGTTCTACGCGACAAGTTAAAAATGCAAAGAATGCTCTGAGCAATTAAAGTGTCGAGCAGAATAAAGCAAGCAGAGTTGAATTATCTAAATTAGTTTGCTTAAGATACCAGGGTTATAGCTATACTCATAAAACGTGCTATGAAAGGCTTAATATTTATTAGTGGCTAAGAAGGAAGCCCGTCTAGATGTATTTATACCAATAAAACTGGTCTGGTGGAGATGGGGGCTCTTGATTTGAAGGCTTCCTTGTGGAAAGGACTTGAGATCCTGCTTTAATCTCCTTTGTCCCCAAGGTTTCTTTAGCAACCCCTGTCCTAAACTCAGCCCTTGAGAATGTTCTGTTGTGACTGGGGGATGGCAGCTCTTTAAAACACTCCTCAGTGACTGATTCCTTTCCGCAGAGGTCCGCATTGCTGCGGTGGAGGCCCTCTGTATGCTGGCTCAGTCTTCCCCTTCCTTTGCGGAGAAATGCCTCGACTTTTTAGTGGACATGTTTAACGATGAGATCGAGGAGGTGAGGTTGCAGTCCATCCACACGATGAGAAAAATTTCCAACAACATCACCTTGCGGGAAGACCAGCTGGATACTGTGTTGGCTGTCTTGGAGGTAAGAGCTCCTTCGGGGCAGAAATCTGCTTTGCTGCTTTTTTTAATGCGTTAGAAATATATAATGCTAATCAGGCTCATCCTTTGAGCTGAAACCACTTCTTTTTTATTTCTGCAACAAATGGAGTATGATCTGATCTTGAAAACACAGCAGCTAGTTCCATGTGTTCTATGTGTCTCCAGTGTTTATGTACCTAAATTATTTATGTTTGAGTGGGGCATCTGTACTTTAAGGCACAAACATTTACTAGTTAGATTGGAAAAATTTAGAGTACTTAGTGCTTCTGCAATGATTTGTTTTGTACCTTATGAGGGCTGAAGTGAGAGCCTCATTCACATTCTCCTTGGGTTTGTTGGATTCTGAAAGCTGCCTGTTTGCTTTCTGTCTCAATAGTAAGATCTGTACTCAAGTACCAAAAGAAGAGATTCAATTTAAAAAAAAAATGTTAGTTTCTGCATCTCTTTTAGGGTGCAAATATGAAAAAGTTGGTGGGTTATAGCTTCTGCTTTGAGTTTATCTGGCTGGTTCTAGCAGTTGCTCCTTGCCATTCTCACAAGGCTGAAGCTCTGTATTCTGTGTTTTTTCACGTTATTCTTTCTTGTGTTTAGTTGATTTGTTCTCCCATCTGTTTCTCTAGCTTTTTGCCTCTCTTGTCTCCATCTTACCCCTCCTGGGATCCTTGTAGCACAGGCAGAATATAACACTTCCATGTCACTTCATTCCAGTCCTTAGAGTACATATTCTTTTCCAACCATAACGTGTCTGTCCCTGTGTTCCCTTCCACTGGAATAAGGAAGTGTTTTCCTCCTTTGATCATTTGTATGTGTTGTCATTTAAGAGCTTTTACAAGAGGACTGCTCTTTCTTCTTTTGTGCAAGACAGTGATGAATGTGCTGTTGATAGTTAACAAGTTATAAATAAAATGAATCCACCACTGAAATGCATCCAGTTCTTGCTGTCAAATTTTCACAGTCCATCCAGCACCACCACACATATACCAATAAAATGAAGTATAACACACATATATATGAAACCACAAGGTGTTTTTTTGGCTGAAGGAATGTAATTATTTAAGCTGGCCTTCAGCCACAGCACAAAAATACCGCTTGAAGAGCATAAGCTCTGCTGTATGTATCTTCCTACTTAATAAATAAAATGGGTAAAATGTGACTTTACAATAATATGGAATCCTTGATGTTCTACTTTTAATGAAGTAAGCAACTCCTAAGAGTGTGATTTTTTTTTTTTTTTTCCTTGTGTTTTATTATATGGTTATAAACCAGTTGCTAGATGCTGTAAGCTATGGACTGTCCTGTGTACTGTCACTGCTAATAGTGACAGATCAACTGCAGATGTGCACTGGTTTTTGGATGTCTCTAGCAGTAATTCATCCAAAGAAGAGGAATTGTAATGATTAAAATAGATGTTCAGGCACATGCATCTTCTCTCTCGAATTCAAAGTTGTTTGGATTGGATTTTTAGGATTCTTCAAGGGACATTCGGGAAGCCCTTCACGAACTGTTGTGCTGCACCAATGTCTCAACTAAAGAGGGCATCCACCTTGCACTGGTGGAGCTGCTGAAAAACCTGACCAAGTATCCCACAGACAGAGAATCCATATGGAAGTAAGTGTGCTCGGTCCTCCTGTAGCTGCTTGTTTTCCCATGCTTTTTAGTATTTGGAAAACCAAACAAGTACTTAACTAGCTAAAGGGGTTACAGGTATAATACCCCGTAGTCCTGTAAGTATTTGGAAGAGCAGTTGTACTAGGAAGTCTGCATATTCACACCTAACATACAGATTTTGCATCCTAGATGCACAGCTCTACTCATGTATCCAGCACCGATGGCCGTTCTTGGAAGCAGCCGCCTCTCATAAGCAGTCACTTCAAAACATTCACAGAATTTCCAGAAGAAATTAATTCAACCGCCAATTTAAAACCCTCCATTTATTTGTTTTTAAAACCTCCCCCCCTCCCCCCCCCCCCCCCCAAAAAAAAAAAAAAGCAAATTTACTATTATCATTTAGTATGAATATCTTTTTGTGGATTGAGAAGCTCCAGCTGTTAAGTATTTTTGGACATATTTCTGCCTGAGATTACTCACAGTTTAAATAAACTGTATTTATTATTCCTTGCTTCTTCAAGCTGTTGTCTCGGTTTTCTTGGATGCCATTAAACATTAAAGCAAATACTCAGCCCCAAAGAGAAAATGTTGCTGTGAGCTTTCACAAAGACCTGGACGTGAGGATTTTGAGTTGATCAGGGTGCCACTAAAATAGCGAAAAGTAATGCTGTAAAATGATGTGTTTTGTAGCATATGTGTTTACTAAAAAATATGTCAATCTTTGTATTTTCAGATGCTTGAAGTTCTTGGGGAGCAGGCATCCAACTTTGGTACTTCCTTTAGTCCCGGAGCTTCTGAGCACTCATCCTTTCTTTGACACTCCAGAACCAGACATGGATGACCCAGCCTGTATCTTTTCAATGAAAACAGTCGTTCTTTTTGACTCTAAAAGACTGTTACCTAGAACCATCTTCATAAATACCTATGGGATATAATTAACCTTTTTCCCCCTTTATAATGAATAGTCTAGTTCTCAAGGAATTTGTCAAGGTTTAGGTCTTGGAGATGAGTTCTTTGATAGGAAAACATTTGCCTAGTTAAAGATTCTTTAAAATTTTATGTAAAACTCACCTTACCACCACTGTTGTGTAGTGTACAGAGCACTATTATTTTCAGTATAGCAGTGGCTAAATCTTGCACACTCTAAATTTATAATCTTTTTGAAATAATTCAAAATCAGAAATCCTTATGTTAGCGCTTCTGATGCTCTGGAATACAAACTGTTGTAGCACCATCTTTAACAACAGAAAATGCCTTAGAAATGTGGAATCCTGGTTTTCTAATGTTCATTCCTGTCATTTCTATACAATTGCAGAACATAATTTCACTTACGATGAATACTGAGAGATGCTAGAGTGAAATATCTCTCCCCTCTCCCCTCCTGTTTAGCATAGTCCTTATTTATCTCCGTTCGGAGGCCATCAGCAGAACTTCTAAGCAAGTCAAATAAATAATGTATGAGCACTGAAAATGGCTAAAACTGAGTGGAGAGAAAGATTCATCACTAACATAGTTAAGCAATAATTTGAGTAAATTTGAGGATTGAAGGAACATTGGGGAAAAGGACTGTTATTTAAATGGATAACTTACTGCGAATAGGAAAATATTATTTGATAGGATGTTCTGGAGATAGCTGCCTACCAAATCCTGTGGAAAGGTAGTCTTTGAATACAAATCTGGGAGCCAGAAAATAACAAAGTGGAGTTGGTGGTGATATTTCACCCACACCTGTTTTTGCTTTTTTTCTTCTTTTTTAAGTTAATAAATTACATGAAAGTGTAGTTTTGATTTTAAAGTGGTCAGCAAGTTTCAATCAAATTAGCTAAGAGCTTCAGCTGGAAATGGGGAAGGGATCTTAGTCAAAGAGGGGGATTTGGTTTCTCATGCTGCTGCCTTTATACTTGGTAGCCTCTAACTAGTGCAGGCTTTCCTGGAGGAGGAGATGTGGGTTCAGGTGCCTTCTGTGCTTGGGAGACGGTCTGAAGCTGCTTCTCTCCCAAGCAAGTGAGGACCTTGCCCATCCCAAGCTCTGTGCTGGGGTCCTGTTACTCTCTGCTGTTGGAGATGTGACCCTTGGGATTATCGTGTTGCAGGTGAATGTTGCAGCTTCTGGCTGCTCTTGCTGCCTTTTGTATTTCTCTAGCTCTTGCACTATGAAAATGATTTTGTTATTCTCTTCCAGAATCTTTTCAGCATTCAAATCCTTCATTAAGTTTATAAATCTGACTAAGAGGGATACTTTTCCAGGGTTTTACTCCATAGCAGAAGGAACAGCTTTCAAGAACTCGGAGATAAGTGTTTTCTTCTAGCTGCTGTTTGGGTACCAGACAGCTAAACAGAGAGCAAACTGAGATGGGAAAGAGCGAGCAGCACCATGAGACCCCGTGTTCTCCTGGCTCCCATCCTTCCTGTTGCTATGAGCAATCCCATGCTGGCAGGAACATCCTTCAATATGGCCCATTCTACAATATTTACATGTTTTACTTCATTTTCATCTGCTCATACAACTGCCTCATAGGTTTTGCCCAGCACCCTCCCACTGTGTGGAAAAACCTAAAGATCTTCCAGCAAGGAAAGGGTTTTGGAGTTGTTGTTTTAGCTTGCTGATCCCCAAGGAGCTCCTTTCTGGTGTTGCTTTTTCTTTAACAATGCGTTTCGCTAGACATTGCTGTCCTGGTTTTGATTTTCAACGCTGCCAAGAGCTGCCCGACGATGCCCGCGCTCTTTTCTGACCACACGTTTAGGCATTACGCCTACCTGCGCGACAGCCTCTCTCACCTGGTCCCCGCCTTAAGAGTGAGCTGATCCCCTTCTGTTTGTGCTTCACCGCTGTGTTACTGCCAACACTGCAACGTTTTGAGGATAAAGGGGGTTGTTTTTTTCCACCCCCAGCCATGAAGGGAGGGGATATTGAGTTGTATGTTATGTAAGAAAAATCACATGCTAAATCTCTATTGTGAGAGGTGTGGAGCTTCTAGAGAGGGTCCAGCGGAGAGCGACAAAGATGATTAAGGGACTGGAACATCTCTTGCATGAAGAAAGACTAAGTGAGCGGGGCCTGTTTAGCCTGGAGAAGGGAAGGCTGAGAAGGGAACTAGTCAATATGTCTAAGTACCTGAAGGGAGAATGTAGGGAGGAAGGGGCCAAGTTATTCTCAGTGGTGGCCAGTGACAGGACAAGGGACAATGGGTATAAGTTGCAATACAGGAAGTTCCATCTCCATATGAGGAAGAACTTCTTTACTGTGAGGGTGACAGAGCCCTGGAACAGGCTGCCCAGGGAGGTTGTGGAGTCTCCTTCTCTGGGGATCTTCCAAACCCACCTGGCTGCCACCCTGTGCCCCATCCTCGGGGTGTCCCTGCTGCAACCAGGGGTTGCACTAGGTGATCTGTAGAGGTCCCTTCCAACCTCAACCGTTCTGTGACTCAGTGAAATTGTTACAATATGGAGTTTCTTTTGAAGAGCTGTCAGATGAGAGTAACAGGGAGCTTGCTGGTTAGGAGGGAGCACTGGAGGGCTGGATTCCTGGGAACTTGCTGGCAGAGGGGGGAAGGGAAGTTTAGCCTATGCAAATCTTGCTAATATTTGACTTACATCCTCCTTACCTGGTTTACTCATGAGTAAGAAATGTCCCTGCCACTTTGGAGCACGTTTTTCCTGTGTGAAAGTGAAGGTGGTGCTGATGTTGGCCATAAGCCTTACTACGGCTCATAAAACGAGCCACACACTGTGTGGTCTTGACTTTACCATCTCATAGTTTGTAGATTAGAAAGATGTTCCTCTCCTGAAATTTAAACTGTAGATGTGTGTCCAGAAGGTGGTTATAAAACAGTGCAGATGGAGACATGAGAGCCTTGATAAAGGTGTGAATCTGAAAAAGAAATTGAGAAATCTACCCCTACCAAGCGAGGCAGTGTTTTGGAGCGGTTTTACTTGTGTTGAACTCTTTCCTGCATGTGTTTCTTTTGCTTAGTTGCCGGGTAGAAAGCTGGTGTCCTCCCCTGTCTCTCCCAGCATTACCCCAAATGAGGATCCTTGCCAGCAGTTCCTGCATCAGAGCCTGGAGAGGGTTTACAACCTTCAGCACCTCGACCCGCAGGGCGTCCAGGAGCTGCTGGAATTCACCATCCGGTAAGGCCGCCTCTGCGTGAAAACGGGTTAAAATTCCCAGTTTCTTCAAAGAAGCTGCTCTGATTCTGAGTGCAAGGAGTTTACTTTGCTGCTGAGCACCTAATCTGAACCTCCTGACAGAAGTTGTGACTCAAAAAGGAATCGTGACAGGTTTAAAATAAAACCAGGGTCTCAGCTACACCAAAAGATCAGGGTGTATTTGAAGGGAAGATCTTTTCCAAGCTTGGTCATGTTAAGGGTGCTCTTGCACTGTTCGCCTGGGATTAAACATGCCCTCATTTTTTTAGGATGACAGCTTTGGATCCTTATTGTGGTTGTATTATTTGAAATGCACATGCTTTTTATTTAATTTAGTTTATTTTATTTATTTTACTTACTGCTGCTTGCAGTTGATACAGGATGGCTTCTGAATGCACATCTTGTGTCGCCTTTTCCATTTCACCTGTGCACTGGTTTACACAAGCAGAACACTTGCAAAGGATCCTTTCCATGTGATTTTTCTGTTTGATAGAAAAAAAAATACATAGTTTGAGTCAGAAAAAAATGTAAAATGCTGTCTTTGGATCCAAAATGTGAATAAAGAATTCCCAACAACTTTATTTTTTTTCACAAAAATATGCTTTTTCTCTATATTACCTTTAGACTCACTTGCTTTCTGAAAAGCTCTCTGTGAAAAGCTAATCACTTTCTCAACTGTTTAGAAGCTATTGGGCACCAGACTGTCTTAAAACATTTAGGATATTGAATGTTTTAAACAAAACTAAACATTTTAAACAGTCTTTTGGCAGAATCTCCAAAGTCTCATAAACTCGATAAAACAGAAACTTCACAAACTGTTTCCTTTTTTGAGTATGCCAAAGAGCATAATATAGATGGCCACAAGCATTGCTTACATGCCGTAATGGACCTAATAGAAATAATTTTTACGCTTTTTGGTGCGGGGACCTTTTCTTTTCCTTGCTGGGGTCACCCCTGAGGAACTGCATTAAACCAACTGCTAATTCACAGACAGTGGCATGGATTGTTTGAGTGTCTCGTCTGTCAGCAAAATTCAGGTTTGGCAGAGCCCAAGCTTTGGGATTGCTTCATAAATATGGGGGCATTAGAGCTAAAATAAGAGAACAGTCAGCTGGAGAAAAAAAATATTCATTTTAATTTTGTTTTTTATAGTAGTAGGAGACATGGAAGTAGACAGTTTTAGTATGTTTCTGGAGCACAGAAAAATGTGTTGAACCGGCCTTATCCAACCTGCTTTAAGTACAGAATGGAAAATAAGTTGTCCTAATTTCTTTTAAGGCCTCTGTGGTCAGTGACACGAAGCTTTTGGGGTTTGATTGGCTGACGTTTTTCTGGAGGATAAAACCTGCTGCTGTGCGGTACGATTATCAGTTCAGTGGATGTAAAGAAGCTAATTTAAAAACTGCAGCTATAGCTCAGATGTGCCTGGTTGCATGAGCCCAGCGTGGTGGAAACAATCTTTCGTAGCCAATGTGAGGAGTTAATTTCCCAGCAGAGCAGCACAAACGGGTCGTCAGCTGCTGCAGAAATTTGAAGTTCACTCTGGAACTGCTCCACTCGATGGCTCCCCCAGGGCTGCGGAGTTGTGTGGGTTGACAGACTTGTGGCTTCCACTGCTGGGCTCCTGACAGCCCCCAGGAGCAAGAGAGATGCTGCAGAGTCCCCAGGTGCAAATTGTTTTGTGCTGCCTTGTTTTTATTTGGCTTCTGGTGCTGGGAGGATAAGCAGAAGGAAGTTGCAGGAGGAGCTGGTTGATTCAACACTGCTGTTGCTGCACTGTGGTGCATTCAGATTAGAATTTGTGCTGTCTGTTTTCAAGTTTCTCTTTTTTTCTTCCCACTTGCTTCAGGGACCTTCAGAGGCTTGGGGAGCTGCAGTCAGAATTGGCGGGGATGGCAGATTTCACCGCAACTTACCTTCAGTGTCAGCTGCTCCTCATCAAGGTTGGGTTTCTTCTGCTTTTGGGGGGCTGTTGGTCTGAAATGCCCGCAGCCCCTTACAGCCTGGCCTGTCCGGATGTTCGTGCTGAAAACTGATTTACAACCACAGTGCAGGTTTCCTGATGTTGTAACCTGCTTTGCTGCTGTGGCGAATTATTTGTGCAGTAACTTCGCAAATGAATGCACCATTGCGGAGGGCTGCTCTGTAGAGCTTGTGCTGGTTCATGGATGCTTTGCCAGTGCAGAGCTTGTAAATCTATTTTCTGACAGATATGTACAGCCCTGACATGTTCCATCCACTGTATATTAGCTGATGAGCTGATTATTTTGATAAAATAGCAGCATCTGCTTTCAAAGTCAGCTTCTTGCTGTAGGCAGGAAGTCAAATTTCTTGCTTTACTACTTGAGCTTTAAATTGGCAATAGTACTGGGGATAGTATTTGAGTTAATTTGCTGGTGTTCTTTAGGTGTTTGAATGACACATATATATATATATAAAATACACACACATGAATTCACTAACACACAAAGCATGAATTCACTAACCAGTTTCCAGAAGGTGCCCAACAAAAGCTTTATCATATAAAACCAGGAATGTATGTCAGTTTCTTTGCTACATGTGTGGTTGCCAGATGGAATATCTTACAGCAGCCCTCAAATGCTTAGAATACATTTACAACCCGGAGAGGATATTTGGATGAGTGGTGTTGCAGCTTGGAACAATAGCAGCTAAATCTGCACGTTTTACCAAAGCAGAACGTGTTCCTCCTGCAGAAACCAGCACTGGGATTGAGCTTTCCTCCAGGTATTGCCTGGGGGGAAGCAATTCACATGAGCTGAAAGGATGTGATATTCTGCATTTCTCTGTGGTTTTGTTCTGTAGGCCCTGCAGGAGAAGCTGTGGAACGTGGCAGCTCCGCTCTACCTGAAACAAAATGTGTTGGCATCTGCTGCAGCGAAACAGGTGAGGCTGAAGCTGCTGAGCCTCCGTGGAGGCGAGAGCTGACACCCTTTCTTACCATGCAGGAATACAGTCCTCCTGATTTTCCTCAATTTCAGCCTGCTCTAGTCAATCCTGGTTTACCAAAGCGGAGTAAATTGAACGTGAGATAACACTAATATTAGTTTGGACCTCTGCAGGACTTCATAGCTGCTGAGTGTGTTCTGGGTTGCTTGAATACTGTTTTTTTGCTTTTAGGAAAATGGTAGGTTATAGAGTGAGATGTACATTTGGAGTCAGACCTCTTGGTATAACGTGTCACCTTGTAGCACGTCAGCTTTTTGAGGTACCTGAACACTCACGGGAAGCTACCACAGCAAGCAAGTCTGCTAAGCCAGACTTGTTCTTTGCCTTAGTCAAGCCTGAGACTTGTTCTAGGTCAGTTCGCTGATCTGCAGTTCAATGTCCCTGAGGATATCACTCAAAGGTGGGATGTCACTCAAATATGCAGTGGATCCTGTGTGTTAAATTACAGTATTTTCAGTTATGTATTGGGGACAGATATAAAGTACATAAAGGAAGGTTTGTAATGACTGGGAAAATGCCAAGGTCTTGCCCATCTTCCAAAGGGTAAAAGATCCAGGGAACTACAGGCTGGTTGGCCAAACCTCAGCCCTGAGAAGGTTGTGAGTATCCATCTCTTGAGAAGCTGTTCAAGTGGTTGGCAGCAGCCAAAATGAATTAACCAAGGACAAATCACCTCTCAACAACCTCGTTGCTCTCTCTGAGGAGGTGACTGCAGCTGTGGCCGAGGGGAGGGCTTTGGATGTTGTAACCAGTTGTGGTAACCACTGGAGGTCCCTTCCAACCTGAATTTTCCTATGGTTTTGTTTGCTCTAAATGATTGGATCCTGGAAAAAGCAAAGCTGAACCCTAGGAAAAAAAGTGAAGGAGAAAGAAAGCTAATTTAAAAAAAAAAAATGGCAGCAAACCAAGGGTAAAGGCAAGTCCGTGTATCTGCTGGGAGGCAATATTGACATTTTGAGTCTCCAGTTAATTAAAACGTAATAAGAGGCAGCTGTTGCTGTGGATCAAAACCCTGTGTGCTGCAGACGGCTCTCCCCAGGGACCAGTACAAACAAAAACCTATTGGCTTCTTAAATCTTCTCTAATTGAACTGTCTTTCTTGGGTGCCCTTCTGAGCTGCTTGTGCATCCCCTGGGAAGCTGCTCTCTGTTGTGATGGTGAATGCAGATCAGTGTAAGGTGCAGGAATCTTTCCTGCTTAGTAACTTACCAGTTCTTGGGTTCAGTTTGGTTGTAGAGAAGCCAATTACACTCATTTCAGTACTTCTGCCTGCTTAAACCCATCTATTCTGCAGGTACAACGTTACAGTACCAGAAATTGCAATTTTTTAACTAATTTTAATTTTTTAAACTTTTAACTGTGTGTCTAAAAATAACTTAAAATGATGCTTGTCTTGTGATGCTGTAGCTGAAGGTGGGAACTACGAGAAGTGTTTCTGAGTGTACAGGTGTTTCCAAAAGCCTTAGGACAAATGTAGCTCTAAAATGCAAACCTGAGCAGGACCAGTGGGGCTGCGGTGTTGCACTGGGACGTAGTGGGATTTTGCGGTCACGTTTGTCGCACAGATTAACGGCGTCACGTGGCTTTTGTCCCCTGTGGTGTCTGGCAGATCCTGGAAGAAACTTATAAAATGGAGTTCATGTACAGCGGCGTGGAGGGCAGGCAGGTGGTCATTATCCACCACATGAGACTGCAGGCGAAGGCGCTGCAGCTTATAGTGACTGCACGGACCACCAGAGGGTAAGGACGACGTGGTGAGAGGGGAGGATTTTCGTAGGGTTAACAATAAAGTTGGCTTCCTGAAGCTTTTTTTGTTTGTTTTTTTTTCATTCTTAAGAAAAAGGTAACTTAGATGCATAGAACAGCAATGGTTTTTAGGGGGACTTGGTGGGAGGGAGATTCCCATCCCCTTAGATGGGAATGCATCCATTCTGCTGGTTTTGGTTCAGTTCTTTCTTTTGAGGATGCCCCTCTGGCCTTGTGTTGTCTTTAAGACCAGGTAGTTTTTGTAAGCTTGAACTGGATTCCTAAGTGCTTACAGGTACAGAGCCAGATTTCCTCACTGGAAAATAAATAACTAAGGGAAAGTTTTCTTTGCTGCAGAGCCGAACCCCTTTTTGGGATGTGTGAGAAGTTCTTGCAGGAAGTAGATTCTTTTCAAAGGTGAGAAATTCTGTTGCATTTTTACTTTCTGCTTTAAATCTTTACTTGATGTAAAATGTTTTTAAAAGCTGGTGGGGATTCTCTATATGTCCTCCATACATGCCAGACACGACTTTCAGAAGCACGTAATTCAGAAACGAGGCCTCCGTACCTCCTCATGGGATGCTAAGAGCAGCCCATTTATGCTGAAGACCCTTTTAGCTCTTGCTCTTCAGTGTTTGTGTTGGATTTCCCTGTAGTTAAAGCAGTTGTCAGGTACATGTAGAGCATTTGGAGGTGCCACGTGGTCTCTCATTCACTTCACACAAAGTTGAATGAGCCATCTGCGTGCCCGGGGTGGGAATCCTCTCACCCGGTTGTAGCTGTTTGAGACATTATAGATATTCTAGACATTATAGCCCACTGCTTACGAAGCAGACGCCTGGGCTCCCACTTACTGTGAAGAGAGAGGTGCTGCTTTCATCTTGTCCTAGTCTAGATGCCTAAAATAGGTCAGGTTAGTGAGACATGAGTTTTTTTGGATGGACTTGAAAGGAAAACCAGACAACCTGCCCAGACGTAGACATCCGGAGCTGGCTGAGCAGAATTGCATCTCCAGTTATTCATAAAACGTAAGTCTCAGCATTAGTCAAAATCATTGTTATCTCAGGTGAGGTCTGTGTGCATCAGAAGGGGAATCCACATGCAGAACTGATGGCAACAGAATACTAAAAAAAATACTTATTTGTTAGTTTTGAAACTGAAATTGAAGACTGTTTTACAAAGTCATTCTGTATCTAATTCTATGATTATAACTAAATATAACCTGACTGGGAATCACCAGACTGTTGAAAAAAAAGTTGGGGTAAGCATTTGATTTCCATGAATATATTCTTAACACTTGCAGGTGTTTCATCTCGGAGCTCCCACATATGCAAGGCAGCTTTGTCGATAAGTTGCTGGACTTAATGCCCAGACTTGTGACCTCCAAACCCTCGGAAGTGGTCAAGATCCTTCAAACAACGCTACGACAAAGCACCTTCCTCCACCTTCCTCTTCCAGAGCAGGTCAGTGTAATGTGAAGAAGTAAAATGCAACGTTCTTAGAAACCAGTAGACCACGTTTCATTGTGGTGATTGGTCGCAAGGGTTATTTCACAGAGTCACAGAACGGTAGAGGTTGGAAGGGACCACTAGCGATCATCTAGTCCAAATGGACACCTCAGGGACACCTAACGCAGGGGCACAGGGTGGCATCCAGGCAGATTTAGAAGATCTTCAGAGAAGGAGACTCCACAACCTCCCTGGGCAGCCTGTTCCAGGGCTCTGACACCCTCACAGCAAAGAAGTTCTTTGTCATATGGAGATGGAACTTCCTGTGGTTCAACTTGGACCCATTGTCCCTTGTCCTGTCACTGGCCACCACTGAGAAGAGCTTGGCCCCTTCCTCCCTACATTCTCCCCTTCAGTATTTGTACCTGTTCATCAGATTCCCCTCTCAACCTCCTCTAGGCTAAACAGGCCCAGCTCGCTCAGTCTTTCCTCACACAAGAGATGTTCCAGTCCCTTGATCATCTTGGTTGCTCTCCACTTGACCCTCTCTAGAAGCTGCACATCCCTCTTGTACTGGGGAGCCCAGAACTAGCTTTATAGAATCTCCAGACCTGTTAGTCTGGAGTGAAAACAGAGATTTAATAATTCCTGACTTCCTGGCCGTATCTAAAATGACCCAAAGTTATTTCACATTATGGTCTCTAAGAACAGTAATGGTTTGTTGACTTTTTTTTCTGTCACTAATTTCTGCAAATCACTTTGCCCCAATAGCTCCATAGAGCCACTGCAACTATCATCRAGCCCACTGGCGAATCTGACAACCCCCTGAGGTTTACGTCGGGCTTGGTGGTGGCGCTGGATGTTGATGCAACCCTGGAACATGTTCAGGATCCCCAGGGAACTGTTAAAGTGCAGGTAAGGAGTCACCCGGCATGAATGCAAGCAGGATTGGATCCCAGAGGCGTTGGCGTAAGGATGTCAGTTCTTCTCAATGGCAAATAATTGTGCACTTCATTTGTAGCCATGTTGGGTTTCTGTAATTTAAGACTCATGCAGAAACTGGCTTGTGTTTAGTGCACACCTTATGAACACCAGCATGCAAAAATGCTGCTGAAAATCTGGCTTGTTTAATGGCGAGGAGGGGAGAAAAAGAGCTGTTCTGAAACACAGAAATATCTAGGTGTTCGATTCTCTGTATTTAAAACTTAGCTTTCTTCCTGCTGTTGAACCACTTGTTTAAAACCTAGCTAAGTAGGTGGGTGTAGTAGGATATTAAGGAAAATCCATGACATGATAAATCAAAAACCCTGCTTGGAGTAGAGAGGAAGAAGCTGATGCCAGCTTCTGAATTTGGTCAGAAGGCAGAGCGGAACCGTGCAGGTCTGCAAATCCCCGTGCAGCTCTCAGTTGTTGCTTTTTTCCCCCTCCCCATAGGTCTTGTACCCAGACGGACAAGCACAGCTAATCCATCCGAAACCAGCTGACTTCCGAAATCCTGGTCCCGGGAGGCACCGGCTGATCACGCAGGTTTACCTCTCGCACACGGCATGGACAGGTGAGGTCACTGATGCAAACGAGTGCGTTTGGAGGTGCTCGCACCTCCAGAGGTGGGTTTGGAGACAGAGAAGTGCCTGGCTTGGTCCTTTGGCACAAAAGATGCCCCATCCATGGGGGCAGTGGCCTCTGTGTGAGGGTGATGAGTTGTGGGAGGCAGGTCTGCACCCTCGGTTAAGAGTACAGATGAACTGAGTCACTGTAATTCATTGCTGTAGTTGTGACGGGTGTTGGAGCGTGGCAGGGAACCTTTGGAACTGTGTGTGCTCAACGGTGTCATTTCACCGCTCAGTAAAAATTCACCTTTTTACGCCCTAAAAACCCTCCTCTTTGTCTCTGGTGAAATATGTGACTGTGACGTCCACGTTCAGTTGTAGCTGACATTCACGCCTTGTACGGAAGGGCTTCGGTATTTGGCTTGTGGGTTTTTGGAAAGAATCAAAGAAGGTGTTTTTCAGACCTCCCTTTCTCCTGTGTGCTTTTAATCCTTTTGCATTTATTCAAATGCTTTTTTTTAATGCAGTTTATTTTATGGTTAATAGGATTCCGTGGTTTAATTTTTAGTCAATTTTTTTACACTGCAGTATTCTTTTGACTTAGCCGTTTTTCTCCAGCACTTCCACAGCACATTCATTCACCCCACTTGCTTTGTTTTGCTTTGGAGAAGGAAAAACCAGCATTGTTTCTAAGACTGGAAGTGTCTGGATTTAAAGGTTGATCCTGTGCCAGAGGGAGCAGAATCAAGTGCTTATTTCTGTTTCTGCAGCATTTGCTTCAAGGGCATTTTCAGTTTGCTCCCAAGCCATTCTGTTTTGGAATCTTCCCCGGTCATTATTTTAATTAATTAGCTTTGACACTGGAACTTACGAATGTAACATGTGGCGATGATACCAAGCTGGCCGCTCCTCAGAGAATAGTCAGAATTCAAAGTGATGTTGGCAAAGCAGAGAAGTTGCCTGAGTTCAAGAAAATTCCTCATTGATGCTCAGTGAAAAGGTGTGTGTAGCAAGGGGACTGTCCTAACGAAACAGGTGGGATAAGGGATAAATGTGGAGTGGAGGTGACAGCAGTTACTGCAGTTTGGGGAACTGCATCTTAAAACTTAAGTAGATAAACTGGAAGGAGCCTAGAGGAGCACACTGAGAATGAGGGGTTTTGGCTATGTTGACTGAAGGAAAAGCTAAAGCCATTTCATATTTTTCAGTCTACAAGGGAAATTTTGACTCTGTGTGACTCAAAGTCATATTAGAAAGAAAAACTTGTTTTCATCATGGCACTGAGAGAACAAAATCAGTCTGTGCACACTATGGAATTAGGAGTATCAGGAATATCTGCCTAACTGCTGAGATGGAAAAGCAAGGAAAAAGGCTGTCTTGAAATGTAAAACAAAACAAAACCAAAACCCTTTTTTTTTTACATTTCAAGGGTTAGGGCTAGGTTCTCTTCAACAGAAGAGAATCTTGAAGTAATTTTCTGGTTTGAGAGTCTTGATCAGACTCTATCTAGATTTTACTTCATTTTTGCAATAAAGTTAGGGAACTAAATTAGGCCTGCTACCTTTGATAATTATTTTTGAGATTTGCTAATTTATCCTAGGAGTCTTTTTTTTTTTTTTTTTTTTTTTAAGCTGAGACTAAGAATAGGAGAGAAACAAACAAAAAGATGGTGCTTAATGGCACTGTACTGAGTGTAATGACAAAATTAAAGTTTCAAAATTAAGGTTTTTTTTTTTTTTCAAGACATCTTTGGGATTCTGATCTTACAAACCTAGAATGGCTCTCTGTTTAACCCTGAATAAATAAAATCTTGACCAATTTTGAATTCTCCCAGATTCTTTCAGTCAGTATTGCTTATTTGCTCTGTGATGACCATTGTGATTGGATTCTTCTGTTTTCCCTCTTCAGAGCCGTGTCAGATTGAGGTGAGGTTACTGCTGGCCTACAATTCCAATAGGAGCAAGGCTGCTAAAATGCCCAAATCCACCTGGAGCGACAGCATGGAGGCTCTCCCGCCATCCGAAAACGGCATCGAGGGAACCATTCCCTTTAGCAAACCCGTCAAAGTTTATATCATGCCCAAACCTGCCAGGCGGTGAAGTCAGTCACGGAAAGACACTTATACGACTGTTGGGTTACAGGAAAACCATTTGTTTCCCAAGGTAGAGAACCAAACCAGCAGTGTTAAACTTGCACAAAGAAAGAGGAAAACAAGAAAATACAGCTACTGAAGAACAATTGGCTGTCTCTATTATGATGGAGAAAGGTCAGCACAAGTTACTGGGCTGGTTCACAATTTCAAGGACCTGCGGACGTTTCTGTATTGAATCAACAAAATCAAGGCAATTCTCAGCCAGCACTTCAGTAACTCTTACACTGGGACAGATACCTGTTTTCACCTATGAAAAACTTCTTTTCAAGGCTTTTAGGTTTCTTGTCTGAGGTATTTGCTGTGTAAAAACTTAGGAACTTAAATCCATGTTATTTTATAATACTCTGAAACTAAGTTAAGTTTTTTTTTTTTTTTTTTTTTTTCCTCCCTGAAATGGAGCCCTGCATCCTTGTCTTTTACTTGTAATTCCCCTTAACTATTTAATTATGCCTTTGGGAGCAGTGAGATGGAATGACACAGGTAGAGAAAATACCAGCCTTGTTCCATTAAGTTTGACAGAATCTGTTCCTGTATGTTGATCTTTTTCTTGGACCAATCATGCTGAGATTAGAAAGTCTGATTAGTTTTTCCTTTCTGGAGCAGTTTGGGCAGTTGAAACCTTTCTAATGTGCTTGAAGTAGCTGAGCACACTCAGTGAAGCAGCAGCAAGGGAAGTTGTCCGTGTTTCCTGATGCAGGTGAGCGAAGGGAAGCGCTTTCCTACCAGGATGGATTCAGCTGAGGACTGAAATAACTGGTCCTGTAGAACATGTGTGGCTCCTTCTCACACTGCTCCCTGTTCCCGGAGGGCTTGCCAGAAATGTGAAGCTTTGGTCTTCCTTTTGAGAGGTATCTGTTAATCACTCCCTTCTACAGACTGGGTTTCAATAAACCAAGGAACCTCCCGTGTTTCTCAGCAATCCTTCGAGAGGATTTTTCCAGGCATGCTTCAGGTGTGGAACTTCCTAGCACAGCAGCCAGATGTTACCTGTGTTTTATTGAATTAACTGCCAGAGGAAAAAATAAAAAGTGTATTTCTAGCAGGTAATCAAAATAGTGAAGAAATACCTTCAAAGATAATTGAAATCAAAATAATTATGCAGAAGTCCTTATATGCCTTCCTATAATGCAATTGGAAAACTCCTTTAGCCTGGTTCTTTTTGCTGTAAGCATGAACACATAGACCCCAGTGGGTCTGTCCTCTTAAGACTTTTAAAATTTCTTTAATGCTGATGTGCTGTCAGCCAAAGGCTGACTCTATAACCATTCAGTTGCTTTGGATATTAATGTATTAAAGATTCGTACTTTTACAACCTTTGTTTTGTATTTTGATGCTAGATGTGGCTTTTTTTTTTCATTTATGGTATCAAAATCTTGGGTTTTTTTGTCTTCTTTTAAGCACCAGGACAAATCCTGCTATTTTGCTTCCCTATGCTGTGTTTGAACTGCTTGCGTACAACCCGCAAGGTGAAGATCCCTTTTGTGTATTGTCACCATTGAAAATGTCTAAAATCCCCTGAAAAATTAAAGCCAGTAAGAATTTTTCCAGCCTTATCATAGAGTGGCTTCTCTTCTTAATCTTTTAATTTTTTTCTCAAATATTGCCTATTCAGATGACTAATTCATTGTAATTTTGGCCAAACTGAAGGAAATGTTCTGTAACACTCTTTATGATCTTAAAATTCAATGATGAATGCTATTTTTTCTGCTATTTTTTCTCCTTCCAAGATTCAAATTTGCCTTTGTTTTTCCTGCTATGTAGATAAGCAGACTTGTAAACATCTCTTATATGTGATGCTGCTTTCTGCTTGCTATATTTTACCTTATTTTTATTGAATGATGCATTCTTCTGAGTTTTCTTTTTCTATCTGCGTTCTGTTATTTTCACTGCTAAGTAGTACTTTTCACATCACATTTTCACATGCAGGAAATCAAAAAGATAATTTGTAAGTTAAATAATGTGAGGTTTTATGTAAAAGTCTGTGTGCCAACATTTCTTCTCCATCCAGTTTTGAGATATTTAGGATTTTCTGGAAATTCTGCAGTTCGTATAAAGATGTAATTCAGATTTTTTTTCATCTCTTTTCAAGGAGAAACATAGGACTTCAGATCACGATCATCCAAATGCTGCCAGATTCTGCTAGATCCTTTCTGTCACGCAGCATGAGATTTGTTGTAGCCCACTGCTATAGTGAGGCAAGGGCTGGTAAGGTGCTGAAAACTTTAAGGACAGTTGATCCCCAGCCTCTGGTGCCTTTTCCCTCTCTGTTGGCTGCAGTGTCAAGAATTTGGCAGAGAGAGAAGATTTTTCATTATGGAAGTGCACAGAGATGTAGCTTAATGGTTTGAAAGTGTGTTTTGTTTTACTTTTCAGGTTTAATTACTCATGGCAACTCTGAGGGGAGGGGAAGCATTTCCCTCTATGCTTTTAATTTCAAATTCATAACTGGACTGCTTCAGATGAACAGATCCAGTTCTTAGAACTTTGAAACTAAATAATGCAACTGTCAAGAACAGTTAAAACTGTGAATGAGGTTATTTGGGACAAATTGAAGCCATTAATTCAAGTCTATTCTGCTTGGAAAGGTAGAAAAATTAAATAGGCAGATACTCTAATTGCAAGAGATACAAACAAAAAGTCTTATTTGGAAGGAAAAAGAACATTAGGGTCCAAAATGAAACACATCCAGAGCCTGAGCTGTATCTCACAGGTGTGGATTTCTTTGGATCTTGTCTCAGGGGTTGTCCCAGTTTTCTAAATTATGGCCCAGACAAAGAATCAATATTTTTCATCCTTTTCACTCGGCTGTTCCAGTCTGTTTTTTTTGTAGTGTGCACAAAGAATTGGGGACAGGGCTGTTTCTATTTTACCGTTTCATTCTGCAATATCGATGAGACTTCAGAAATGAGACTTTAAAGGCAGAGCACTGCGGGGCTTTGCAGAAGTGATGTCTGATGTCCTTAAAAATGCTGGTCATGTTGCAGTCAGTCGAGCTGTTCAGGGTCTGCCTCTGCTCGCTGCCAGCTCACAGGGGCTGCTCCGTGGAGATAAGCGCCGGGGCCTGCGCCGCTCCGGCACTGGAATCGTCTTGGCGCCGAGCCCAGAAGTGGCTTCATTTTAATAAGCGTGTCAGGGTGGGAGTTCACGGCCTACGGGGAGGTTAGTTTTCATGGTGGGAGGCAGAGAAGTGGTGGATGTGGAAAAGCTTTCTGCATAAACTGCACTGCCATGATTCAAGCTTGAAGATTTTAATTAAATATATATATATATATATATAAATGTGTGTGTATTTATGGTATGAGGTGAAAACAGCACTGTAACAGAGCAGTTTTGATGAGTGGGTCCCAGCTCTTTCAACGATGTAGCAAGGCAGCTTCAGGCATGGAGAAGGAAACCTGGATTTCAGTGAGTGGAACAGGCTCTTTTGTGGCAAGGACAAAGCTGACTCTGGAACCTGTGACAAAGGTGGTGATGGAAACTGGGACTGAAGAGACTTACAGCACATTAGCTCCTTGTTGACACTGAACCTCTGTACTGAGGGTAGCAGGAGGCAGTTTACCCTTGAAAGAGAAAAATCCATTTTTTTTGCACTCTCCACTTCCCCATTTTTGAAATGGAGTCTTCCGTATCCTGCTAGTTGCCAAATAAAAGGCACAATTAGAAGGTTGCAGCATAAAAAAAAAGTGTAAGGTACCTCTAACAGTACCTGACAGAGCAGTTTTACATAAGCTTTTGCCTTAAATGTAGCCACACTATTACAAAGTGTTACTGTAATTAAAAGATAAGAACTCACATTGCTGAGTACTCGCTTTGCTTTCACAACAAACTGTATTTTAAGAAGTAAGAGGTTTTTAAAGCTTAACAGCACAAACAAACACAGGAAAAAAAAGAACGTGTCATTTTGCAAAATGTTATTCTTGGTTCTTGGGAAAATCGGTCTCATACTGACGCAAGCCTCTGCACTAGCACTTTGGATTGCTCCAAGAGCCTCCAGGCTTTTAGTTATCTCTCTGCCTTGGCTAATATAAATGGACTTGATCAAAAACTACTAGTGAGCCTGGTGAAAAGGAACCTACAATAAGTAACTTAAAACGTGTCATATTAGCAGGCTGCAGCAAGCAGAAGAAACAGTACAAACAGCAGCAATGGTAAAAACATGAGAAACTTCTAAAATCCTCAGTGTAGTAATATAGTTGTTGGCACAGTGTTTAATTGATCATCATTACCTGGTGATTGAATATCCAATGACCATTCCCAGCTTGCCTGCAGCATTGTAATAGCAGCAATTTAGGTGTGACAAATTTCCTACTGGCCGACATTTTATATTGCAGTCTGTTTGCTTTAAAAAGCTACAGCCTTTTAAATTGAAACACATTCTACGCTTTAATATTCACAATTAATAGGAAAATTCCTTACAGTCCACATTTTATGTTTATACCACATAAGCTTTTTTTTCCTTTTAAGGTTCAATGTAGAATTTCAAAGTGCCTAGTTGCATGATATTTTTGATTCATCACAAAGAAGCTGATCTACATCCTTAATATCCTGAAATGAAATTGGCAATAGGAGGCAGAGTTCGAACTTTTAAAGCTTATATACAGTGACTAATGACAAGAGTACTGCTTTATTTAGTAATGCTTATATTTTACTCCATTTCGTCATTCACTCGCCAAGTATGTAATAGCTGTATTCCAGTGTTTAACAATGTAGTTATGGCCTATTTCCCAATAGAAATATTCACAACCTAAGCTTTAATTTAGCAGAACAGGTGAAAAAATAAGTAACCAAAATATGAGCCATCTTTAGAAAGGTCAAAATCAAGAGCGTATGGATACATTCTGCATCTGAATGATTTTTCTTCATAAATCAACTCCATTTGTGAGCATCGGTTTAAATCCTGAACTGCTGAATTATCCTTACCTTTTAGCCTTTCAGCCTACGTTAACGCCCTAGCACTTTGCACTTAAGTCTGTACTATTGACTGTAACTTGATTCAGTCGGAAAGTACATTCATGCCTTGGAAGAGGTCAGGGAAGGCCTTAGTGCTAACTAAGGTTTCAACATGTTGAATGGAAGATTCCTCCCACTTTGACACCTTGAACAGCCAGAGCGTTGTACTCTTCTACAGCCTTCTCTGTTTGCAAGACCACCACATCAATCCCGTTTTTTTTGAGATAATCCACAGTGGATGATGGTACCTAAGGGGAGGAAAGGAGAAGGGAAGAGTATTAGAATCTTTTCCCCATAGTCTGTATGGCCTGAAGAAAAATAAGTTACTGAAAATATTTGCTAGCAGATGCCCTAAAGATACACATAGTAACCAAACCGGTAATATGCTAGGAAATTTTTAAGATTAAGATGATTTTTTTCTGTTCAATAGAGAACTTTATATACACGTACTTCTCATTTATCCTTAGTAGTGTTACACATGGCCCCTTTTTTTTAAGGCAGAAACACAATTTGACCAACAAATACTGAATATAAGTACAGTGTTATTCAGAGCATCAAAAAGCTACAGCATTGCTTCTTTTGGTGATGAGCACTTTTGAGCTTTCTGCAGCTAGTTTATCTGCTGAAATGGCACTGCCAACAATAGTAACAAAAATGCCTAATTAACACAATATGTACAAGAGACTAAATAGCTAGTTAATAATGTGGCTGGGCAAGGGGTTAAGGACAACTCTAAAAATTTCTCTGTTATATTTTGCTCCCACAGCAGAATCTAAACCTGTTACTATACATCACTGCTACTAATATATAGGAGCTTGAAATATTTTACTTCAAGGAAGATAGTTGCTAAGGGCAGGAGCTCAGATGTGTCAACTTGGTCTTCTAAGTTTTTTTCTTAGATGGGCATCCCAGTGGACTTCACCCCCACACCCTCCCTCGTCCCGTATACATGAAAAGGAGGAAAACCAAATAGTTCTAGTTTATGTTTTATCAGAAAATAACCCACCTGCAAAGCCTCACTCATGCCACGACCAATCACCATGGTTTTAACACCCTTCTTGACAACTTCTTCAAGGTCAGCTGGCTGCACTCCTGGAGAATGCTAAGTGTCAGGAGGAGAAAATACTAGACTTTGTACTGAAAGCATAAACCAGGAAAGATTCAGCTATATTCTGAAACAGTACATAGTTTAACAGATTAAAATAGCTAAACCCAAAGGTAAAACAACCCTCTTTCCCTTATGACCCTTATGTCCCACATGACAATATTGGTAATTTCAAAAGGTATATATGGTTATATACAGATGAAGAATGATAGTTAATTGATTGAATCTATAAATACACCTATAATGTTCACCTAAAATACTGTGTTACACTAACTCTCCATTCCTCCTACTTGAACTTTGTGTATCTCTATATGGCTAGAAGTAAGATATAAGACAATTTTTGATTAAGTTTGGCCCCTCTTCAACTTACAACTGTTCTTTTTTTATGTGTGTATCTTAAATTCTATAAATTATTTTTTCTTCTTTCTGTCTCTCTCACAGGATTTTAAGTGGACCGAGAGTAATTTTTTGCTCCAGGGAGATAATTGTGGACTTCTAAAGAAAGATATTTTTATGGAGATGCTCATAAATCTAGATTCCCTATCCTTACTCTTTCAGAAAAGTACTACGTTCCTTGCATTAAGGTGAAAGCACCAGCTTAATAATTAGGTGTAGGAAGGATAAAATTGACCTAAAGCAGGATCTTTAAAAGTGGCATATCTAATGGAAAACCTAAATAGACGGGGTTTGATTCCTGATGATGCAAAAAGTGTGCTAGAAAACCCACCTCTCTGAAGAGTACAACCCTCTTCTGGTTTTCCTTTAACCTACACTTACCTGTCTCTTAGCTGAAAGACTCCCATAAGGACTTTTATGAACTTAAAATTTTCAAATGATGTGACTGAACATCAAAATGTGATTGAGCTGGGAACTATTTGGGAACTTTTCAACTATTATATCTGTTCTGCTTCTCCAGTCACATGGATATATAAACTCAGAGAATGATATTGCTAAAAATTTGATTTTCTCTTGTCAAGCAAGCATAAAAAAACACCCTGCCCTTCAAAATGCCAAGTAGTAGAAATTCCAGTTTCATAATCAAGCTATTCATATGCAGAGCAAGATAAGGTTACATTATGGCTATCTTTCTCTTTGCAAAGAATAGATATCTTTGCATCAAAGCTTTACCTTTTTCTATGTACTATATATACATTATAAGTTGCACACTAAAAGCTTAAAAATGTCACCAGAAAATTATATAAAAAGTTCTTAAATACAAGGCTCTTCAGTTGTGCTGAATGAATTCCATAGAGCTCAGGACCCAGCTGCGTGGATCCAGCTGCAGACTGCTGGGCATGCAGGTCTTTTCCACTTTAACCTTTGCTTATAAACTTTTTCTGTAAACAATACAGCTATGTATATATGTACAAGTGCAAGACCTATTACGGGAAGAATTATTGATACAAATCTCCCTAGAACCAACAGAGATGCTTCTAAATCTGGAAAATCAGTAAGTAGTTTTACATGGTTATGAAAGCATGTACAGATGGAGTTTACAGAACACAAAACCTGTGAGGACAAGCACTTAGAGGGTGGCTACAGAGACAAGATACTGCGTGCTTAGTCATTCTGCGAGTTTTCCATGAAAAGTCTGAAAAAGTTTGCTACTAGCATCACAACACTGTTTGAGGGCTCTAAGGTAAATATGATAGTGGTCCAACCTGTGCAGCTGTCTGTGAAGACTGGTGGCAATAGCTGCTACTCCCTGTCACCCATATGAAGTAGCGTCTGCAGCCCCTTGACCTCTTTGCACATGTACTTCTTAGACATTCTCCATTTCTTCCCAGGAAAAGTCTAATGGTTAGAAAGAAGCAACAGGCAGCCTGCTGAGCATTGGTTGCAACTGCAGTAACCGTTACATGGACCATTCTCTCAGTCCAGTTTAAAATTGAAGGGAAAATTAAACTGCAAACTTACATTAGTTCCCGTTTCTCGCCAATCCCAGGTTCGGCTTCCTCCCGGCCACACTTTGCAGTCCTTATATGTTGTAGGACAGCCTTTCACCTTCATCTGACCCCATGAAAGGGAAGCAATTTCAGGGGAAGACATCTTGAAGTTGAATCAAGGTCTGGAAGTAAAGGATATTTAATACATAATATCAGGATAACATATGTAGCACATAATTAAAAACTTTTTGTCCCAAGGAGCTTGGAAGGAAAAGCTATTATAGACAATTTCTACATGATTTTATGATCACAGAATTGAATTGAGGATTCATTAATTTGAGATGGTGAATGAGGTTAAAAAGCAAACAAACACATTATTAGTTTACTAGCTATAGTTCAAAGCTCAAAACAGACTGAAGTGAAAACAAGAAGACAGCTAAACATCAGACTGTAACAGATTTTTCATTTGTACACTTTTCTCAATAAAGGCAGCATTGAATAGAAAAGCCATCCACAAAGCAACAGTCCTGCTACTGCAGACCAATCTTCAGAGACCTAGAAGGCTCAAGCCTTCTTTCCCAAGGTAGAATCAACTATAACCGTCATTCCCTATACACTTCAAGCCTCCCTAGGTAATTTTTTGGTGCATTTAAGCTCCCAAATAATGTCTTTTCTAAACTCAAAGCTAAATCTTCATTTTTTTCCCTTTAAAAACATTGTTTTTAATGCTTTCTACTATAGATGACAACTTAATCTTGATCTTTCATTTACCTGAGCACTTATCCCTTCTTAGTCTTTTTTTTTTCCCCATTTAGATTCAATAAACTTCAGTACTCTTCAGCCTGTCAATTATGTTTTCTGAATCTCTGCATATTTCCTTAGTTTCTCCCTGAAAGCCAGCATATGGCTCCATCTTTCTAGATGTCTTTTGCCTATAGCTAGACAAATCACCGCAGCTGAGACTTTATCAGTGCTGCATAAAGACTATTTTTGGTTTTTTGCTATTGGGCACAGCCATTTTTTATATCTGCTATCGCAATCATAGCTGAGCATCAAAAGAAAGGGGCAGTGCCCTAGAAGCAACTACTTGACAGTACCATGAAGACACCCATGCTCTTTACAGTACATCAAGCTACTGTAATATGTTTCTGGCACCAAATTGCAACATATTAGTCACACAGTGATACTTTAGAAATGTTTCAGACTAGCTTGACAGCAAATTAACAGAGCAATGACCTCTCTGCCCTTCCAGTTCAGGGTAAGGCAGAAATGTAAGGATGGTCTGAAGTCAACACATTAAAAATATAAAAGGTTGGTTGCATCTGTAATTGAAAGAGAGCTCTGCTCACTGCTGTTCCAAACAAACAAATAAACAAGTAAATGGAAAATCCTTCCAGACAGCTAGATTCTCTCTCTTGTTTTTTGTTGTTGTGATTTTAAACTGTTCAAATCACCAGGAAAATCTATCTTAGGTACCCTGATGCTACCGATTAGGCTAATAGCCCCCTCCAAAGAGCAACCTTTGGATAAACAGACTTTCAATCCTCCTAGAAGAGCTGCAATCTCCTTCCTTACAGGAATCTACAAAGTATGACCAGATAGCTTATGTTCTTCTCTGGTTGCCAGGAATGAATGCAAGAATACTGCTTCAGTTGTTGCATGACGTAAAAATGGAATTCCTATGGATGCAGCAAAAGAACGAGGCTGCCAGAGCTGATACTTCCATACAATAAAGGGGCAATTTTCTTGCTGGATCCTTTCTGAAGTCCATGCTGTGGGTGCTCTGCCAAGCAGCAGTGAATGAATTTGCCTAGAGTCATCTGTCCTGGATATACTGGGCTCATATTAATATTCTTAAGTGCCTTCTTTTTGTTGTTTTTGTGTTTTCTTTTCCAGAAGATGTCTGCTGAGGTAAGATTATAATAGAAGAAGTAACACTAATCCCAATGGAATGGAGATTATCCATCAACCAAAGTGTAAAGGTAGAGCCAACTGCCCAGAAGTTAGCTCTGAAGATAGGTTTTTTTGGGTTTTTTTTTTTTATGTTTGTTCTAGTCTTGTAACGAGACAGCAAAACACTTCAGTTAGAAGATCTGGAGGTTAGACAAAAGGAAATTAACAATAAAATAATTAGAAATTATTTCTATTATGAATGATTATTATGATTATTATTAGAATTTCCTAGTCAAAATAGTATTTAAAGTTTGGCACTGTGCAAAAGAGAAGTGCAAATTGCAAAAAGGTTAGCAAACATAGAGACTCCATTACATCTTTTTCCAACCACATCAAAATACAGAATTATCTGAAAATAAGATACAAAATTCAAAATAAATAATAACAAATGTTTATAATCTAAAAACAGTTTCCTATAATAATGCCAGGGAATATTAGTAAGGTCAAGTCATTATTTGAATTAATGACAATACCTAAAATGTAAGTGAATAAGAATTATCTTTTTAAAAAGGACTTTGGACAATCTTTATGGAGGCCATGATCTGATCACTAACATGAAAGGATTAGAAAAATTTCTCCAACAAACAAGTCATTCCTAAATTCTTCACTGTGACACTGGCTGAAAGGTACAGTGTCAGTCAAGATCAAAAGAGACAAGGAACTATAAGGCTCACAAACATGATCAAAAGTAGCAATTTCTGAGAATGGCGGTAGCTCAACCATGAAGAGGAGAAATGCTGAGGAATCTATAGGCAAAGCTACAAGAATTTAAAATCCTTTGGAATACAAGAAACCGGAGAGCCTACAAGGAAACAATCCTTACATTTATAGGAGAACAATATATCAAAAGAAAGAAATGAGATAGTATCTAAAGATGACAAGAAAAAAAACTAGCAGACAACTGAGAATTAAGCCAAAGAAAATCGAAAATTAAGCATAAATTGTCAACAACAGAGTGGATTTTAAAATTTCTGGCATGCCTTATTTCCATGAAGTTAACTTTGCTTCTGAGCAGTGACCATCAGCAGCAACTTGGCCTGAAGAAAATGGGGAATAGCAGTAACGTGCCACAGAAAAATGTAGTAAGACAGCACAGAAATAAAAAGTGTTTCATAAAATTAATGTTATCCTATGATCAAAGAAGATGAAAGCAAACAGATTAAATTGGCATACATAAAGTTTTCAACAGAAGCAATTCCTGTAACTTTTTCAAAGATCATTTTCCAAAATTGACTGTGAGCACCATGGTAAGTGACAGCGTGCAATTTCCCAGCAGTTAGCATAACTGCAGAAACAATACTTAAGTTAGGAGAACAAACTCGGGTCATTTTTAAACTAACCAGCAATAAAAGCATTAACGAGAACAGACTAGGTTAAAATGAATGGGGTAGGGAGGAGATGGATATAAACTGCAAAAGAGAACAAACTCAGTAACCCGATTTTGCTGTGACAGCGCGAGGTGACAGCGGGTGTCCCCTCTCTTCAGGGAAAAAGGCGGAGAAAAGCAGCGTGAAAACGAGACGGAGACCGGGGAGCAAAGGGCAAAGATCCGAGCGACGCAGGAGCAGGGCAGGGTGAAGGGGGGCGCGCGGGGAACGCAGAGGAGCGAGGCGGGAGGGTGATTTACGAGCAGGGTGTCACAGGCGAGCGCCCGAAACCCGACGGGCCGCAGCAGCTGAGCAGCGGCCTCGTCCCCCCCGCCGCTAGCTCTCCGGTGAGGCGGGCGGCCCTGTCAGCGGGGAACCCTGCGCCTCCCGCCGCGGCGGGGACCTGCTGGGCGACGAGCGCGACCTGAGCCGACCCGCTGCGACCGTGAGAACGGCTGCGACCGTTAGGACCGTTGCGACCGTTAGAGCCGTTACGCACCTACCGCCTCACGCGCGACCCCCACGCGTCACCTCAGCCGCTCCCCGCGGGCGGGGCGGCGCCGCCGCGCCCTCATTGGCCAGCCCTCCCCTCCGGCTCCGCCCCGCCGCCGCAGTGCGATTGGAGGAGACGCGGTGCCGGCGCTCGGCCCGGCCGCTCTGATTGGCGCCGCGGGCGCTCGCCCCGCCCCGCGCCGTCTCCAGGCGCGCCGCCTTGTTTTCATTCCCGTGTCACGCGAGGCGCGGCGCGCTGGGCTCGCGCCGCTCCAGCAGCCGCCCTCCCCCCGCGGTGCATTATGGGATAGTGGTGCCGCCGCGCCGGGTCCCCGAGCGCGGCTCGCCAGCGCCCCCCCCTCCCTCCATCTCCTCCCCCCGCCCCGGCTCCTTCTCCATCCTCAGGTCCAAGATGGCGGCGGCGGCTCCTCCGGCTCCATCGCCGCCTCCCTCCGGCCCCTGCTGCCCGGGCTCGTGGCCCAACTTCGCCGTCGTCTGCTCCTTCCTCGAGCGCTACGGGGCCTTGCTGGACCTGCCCGAGCTGCCCTTCCCCGAGCTGGAGCGCGTCCTGCAGCCGCCGCAGGAGCCCGCGGAACAGGGTGAGCGGCCCGGCTGCCTTTCCCAACCCCCCCCCCCCTTCCCTATCCCTTCTCCCACCGTTTTGGCGAGGCAACAAGGGGGGACACACGGCGTGTGGGGGGGAACCGGGGCTGTTTTCCCCCCCCCCCCCGCCTCCTCCCAGCCCCCGGGGGGTGGAGCGCGCTGAGGGAGAGGAGGGGCCTGGGATTCCCGGAGAGCAGCTCCGGCGGCCGAGGGACCCCCCCCGGCCCCAGCCCCCCCGGAGGTTTTAGGGGGAGAGGCTCTTTTTGTGTGCGGGGGGGCAGGGCCTGGGAGGCGGCCTCCCTCCGCCGATGAAGGGGGGGGGGGGGCTTGTCCTTCCCCCCCCCCTTTTGGGTTCTGCTTTGCCCCCCCACTGGCACGGGTGGGGTTTCTGCGGGAGGAGAAAATGAGCTTAAAAGGCTGCTTTTTGGTTAATCAGGACTGCTTTTTGTTAGTCGTAGCTGCTTTTTGTTAATCGGGCTAACCCTGGCGGCCGCTCTCCTTCAGCGCCATTGGGGGGGGGGTTTGCTCAGCTAACACTTCCTCCCCCCCCTCCACCCCCCATATTTGTGTGTGTCCCTCTCCTCTTCCTCCCCAAAACCGCGACCGGGGGGTGAGTCAGTGCCCGGCCCTCCTTGTTGTCCCGTCCCCCCCTTTACCGCCGTGGGGAGAGGTTTGGGGAGCAGCAGGAAGGACAGCCCGAGCCCTCCCCACGGCCGCCGCTGCGGGAAACCTCCCGGGCACCAGCACAGGCCTCCATTGTGCGCGGCCTCCGTCCCTCTCCTTCTCCCTCTCTCGAGGATGGGATATTTTTGGGGGAAGGGGGTATATGCTCCTTGCTTTGCCCCTTCCCCAGCGCCACCTGCGAGGCCGAGCCGTGGGCTACGTCCGTGCGCGCTCCGCTGTTTTCCTTGGAGCTGCTCCTCCTCTTCCCCTCGCAGCGGCCGCCGCTTTGCTCGCCAGCCTCCCGAATTCCCATTTTGCGGACATGGGGGGGCCCGGGTGAGAGAGAGGCCGCTGTGGGGGGTTATATGGAAGAAAAGGGGCTTGTTGCTCCCTGTCTCCGTCTCTATTATCGCTCTGCTCGGTGCCTCTGCCCTCCTGCCACATAGGGAGACCGCGGGGCGCTCGGCGCATGCGCCGCAGCGCCCATAGAAACTTCCTGCTGCCGGAGAATCCCGGCTCTGCGCTTTTCCTCTTAGCTTGTCCTTATAGTTTTCCATGCATACCACACCTCCCTTCCCCATCAAAGCTATACCGTGCTTTTTTTTTTCCACAAATTGGGATGTAGGGCCTTCCTCTTTTAAAGGAAGCTACTTTATTTTTCCGTCAAGTGCAAACATCCTCTCTGTGAGTTTGCAATAGCTACTGCTAAAGTAGAATCACATAACGAGACAATAAGTTTAATTAATCTTATGATGTCTGATTAATGCAAAGACCATTAGTGATCCCCCGGCTTCTAAAAACAGCATTAATTTTCTTAAATATATATGTGTATTTTCAACTCTACAGTTGAAATATGTGTATTTTCAACCCCTGCCTCTTACATTACGTGCCTTTACGTAACCTTTACATACTTCTACCTTGTTAGAACAGGCAGTGTTTTCTTAAACGGTCACAAAACTGACGAATAAAAGCCATGAATGTACTTCAAAGAACTTGAGTTTTTAATGAAAGTACTTCTTTTAAAATCATGTCTGTAAAGAAAGCTCATGCCAAGTGTGTGTCCCTGAATGTAATTGAATATGTGACAGGCTGTTTTTTCCGGGTGAATTGTGGAATAAATTAAAGTTTAAAGGCGAGATAGTGACTTGTGTTTTAAGTATGTGGAACTTGTGCGTTTGTTAAAAAGTTTCTATTTTTTTATAATCACCTTAGTTGTGTGTTTACAGTTATCAATTATAATAGATAATTGGTTTATAAAAAGCCTTCCATTGACTTTCATCATGGAGTTGTGGTTATGGATCGCTGTAACGTTTGATTTCTATTTATTTATTTTAAAATCTTTTCTGTATTTCCCCCTTATTTTAGAGGGACATGAAGGAGAATCAGGTTGTACTCATTGCTTTAGGACAGGCTGCAGAAGTGGAGCAGATTTCTAGCTTCTGAAAACACAATCTCCAAACTCCTTGAGATGTTGCATGTGTTTTGGTATAATTATAAAGAGTGTTTGCTTGCAGTTGTCTTGGAAGAGCATGTGTGGAGGTGAAAAACTAAGATTTAGGTGATGCTTAAAGCTTTGTGCAATGACTTGTGTGATAATATGGGATTATTTTGTTGGTTTTCTCTGCTTGGTAAAACCAACTCATTGAACTTGGTTTGTGTTGCTCTTAGCTCTTACGTAGAGTATTTTGTGCTTTTGGAAAAACTATTGCAATGATTTGGTTTCTCCGTATGACTTGATTTCTCCAATTATTTAAATTAGCCCTCTAAATGTTTCTTCTAAAAGTTTAAGTTGTTAAACAGCTTGAGTGAAAACTGAAGTGTTTTTTTTTTTTCTGAATTTCTATTTGCCAGCTGTCTGTAGCTTTATTTAGATAGCAGGAGAGATTTGGATTTGTTACGTGCAGTCAGTTTTGCTTTGGATGTTGGCACTCCTTGACTGTGAATTTGCACTGATAGGGAAATGTAACAAAATCTAAGCATATTGATATAGAATTTGGAAGTGTTTTCCCTCCCCAGCTTCTGAGAATCTGAATCAAGATTTGAATCTAATCTGTCAAGTGTCTCCTTTGAGAACTTCTCTGCAGATTAGTTTTGCAATCAAGGAAGAAACTAGATAATTTGGGATTTATATTGATTGGCATCCATACCATCTTGGTAGTCAAAGGTTTATAAGTTTCCTTTTAAACTGATTGACATAGAGCAACTTTCCCTTATGGAGAGCAATGCCAAATGGATGCGGAGCACTCGTGGGCACCTAGGAAGTATCAGATGTTTCCTGGAGTGTTTTTACCTGTGGGTACCAGGATATGGGCTTGTCTTTAGGTGGTCAAACCACTCTGCAAGGAGTACTTTGATATTTAGTTGATAATGTGCTTGAATAGCAAAAAGTAAATGGGTGGTTTTGATTTCACTGCTCATTATTGAATGGTTTTAAAAAGAATAGTGGGATAGTGGTTGCCATAGGAAAAAAATCCTGCTTTTTAGGAAGACTGTACAATAAAATAGTTGAACTTCTGCCGGTGGCTCATTTGAAAGCGGCAGCTATTCAAAGTAATGAGACCCATCATCATCTGGTGAATAATTCTCTTTATTGCTATGAATAATAATCTTGCCTCTAAGAGGGCTCATCCTCCATGTAAAATATGGTGACTTGGACTGCAACCATGACAATCTTCAACTACTTTGGAAAGGAAGAAAGTTGAGCATCTATTCAGATTGCTATAATATTAGTAGCTGATAAAATTTGTCAGCTGATATGCCTCAATGTAAATTGTTTCTCTTGGGATTTATTAAAAAGTAACCCAATAAACCCATGATTTTAACTGGGATGTATTATAAGGGCTCAAAGAAATCATTAAAAATGTAATTAACCCTGGTATTACTTAACTTGTAGATGCAAAATTAAGGTAGGAGTACGACTCATCCTAAGGAGTGCCACAGGACATGATCTGTTGCATCTGCTTCTTTCCAGTGTCAAAATTGTGCAAATTGGAACAAATCATCACACGTATTGTCCTCCTTGCTCTAGCAGACACATGCTGTATTATTTTATTAAGGTTTTTCCACTCCTAGCAGAAAAGCACTCGCATGTTTAAATGTATGTGATGGAGGGCAGCACAAGCTAGATCTATATTTAGTGCTGTGTTTAAGGAACCAAGGTATCAAATTGCCTCCTCCTTTGTGTTTGTAAATAGCTAGAGAATCGGTATAAGTGGTAATTAAGCACTTGGGCTCTTGTCAATGAAAATATTAGCAGAATGCGAGCTCCGTGGCAGAGAGCTAATTTTACACATGGCTACCCCAAACGCTGGCGGCTTTGCCAGGTTCCCGGGCTCGTGAATGGGAGAACCTCTCACCGAGGTGAATGGCAGGCTCTGAAGTACATTAAGCTGTGTCAGTTCATCATTTTTTTTTTTCCTGCAGGCTTTTCATAGTAGCACAGCATTTGATTTGGACTTGATTGAAACGCCAACAAGTGTGCACGCTTTGCACATTCCCTTGCCAAAGTTGTGACCTAAAGGTGCATGGGAGGATGGGAAGGGTGTTTTTGCAGTGTGTAGGTCTCCAAACTGAGGGGGATTCTGCTGCCTTCTCACCTGAGCTTGAACTTTTCTGTCTCTTTTGACTCCTGACAGATTGACCCAGCCTTGAAGTTTGGCTCTTAATTACTGCATGAATGGGTTTTGTTTGGGATTTGGTAATAAAAACTCTCCTAACTTGTTGGCACAGTATAATTAGGTACAGATGCTTGATAGGATGCTTGATAGGGGAAATCACTCTTCTCGCCTTTCCCCTTTCTATCTTTAATGAGAACTGGGGTTAGAGGCAGATGGATTGTGGAACACCTGTGCAATCCATTTACAGCTTTTCTTTCTTTCCTTTTTTTTCCTACATTATGGTGCTTAAAAATCCTATTCTTTGGAGCTACCAAGCTTCACAAGCAGCTTCTTGATAAGCTTCTTTCATTTTCCTGAATCTTCTAAGCACTTAATGTCTTCTTTTCAAAGGAATTGAGGTGCTGAAGTCATTTCTTTCAGTAGCTTGTCTGTCAGGGTTTTTATTGTCACCTGTTGTCATTTCAGTATTGCCAATTGGGAGGCTTTCCAGCATTAACTTAAGCATTCTCCAGGAGGAAATCCAACGTCTGCTTAGGTCAGCCTTAGTTGTTGATAGTTGCAGAAGCTAAGTAGCTTCTGAAAACAGAGTTTTACAGAGTTTCGTAGTTGACATTGGCTATGTTTTTAGTGAAGAGGAGAGGAAAGAGGAGTTTTCACAGAACAGTAGAGAATCACAGAATAATTAAAGTAGGAAGGGAGCTCTAGAGGTCATCTAG